CTGGAGGAAGAGAACAAGCGATTGAAACTGTCTTGTGCCTCGCTGCAAGCCGGCATCTGCCATGCACTGGATCAGGTGGGCCAGATTCAAGGACTTCTTTCCAAGTCCGCGGGTATCCTTTAGGGCGGTGTTTGCACGCGCTTGTCTTTCCTGAGACCTCAGTAGATCTGTTCAATCTGCTCTAGTCATTGATATGCACCCACTGTGATTTATATTCAGCACATACGTAGATGCAAAGAAACGGCAGCATATCTCTATGACTGGCCGATAACCTCCGAGTACAATAGACTTCTCATCAGCGTTACGCTCGGGTTAGTTTCCCGTTAGGCTCTACAAGGGATGAAGAGGACTCCGCATGATCAGCATAAGGTCGCACCACGCCTCAGATGGGCCGTCATACTCACACACCCGGCCGGGATCATCGCGGTCGGTCAACGTGGGGGCGCCTGTCCTGTCTGCTTGATGAAACTGTAGGCCAGCGGAATTGGGATCACTTCTGCGCGCAACCGATGACCGCACAACCCCTCATATGGAAGCCGTAGGCCGAGTGGGCGCGGGGTCCGGGTGGGCAGCACCTTCCGCATCCGACTCCACCAGAGAGACCCGGGGTGGTTGTCCGAGCCGCTCGGCACCCGCCCCACACGTCCAATGCCCCCGCCATATCATTGAGCCGGATGTTTTCAGTCTCACAACCTACCTCGGAGGCTGATATTGAGGGCCCTCGAAAACTGCTCTCTGTCAGTTCTGCTCAGTTTCGCACGTCCACGTCATACTAAGGGCTCGGTTGTTCATCTTTGCCAGCCTTAGATTATTAGAGGTCGGCACATCGCCGTTAACGCGGTTGACATGCTAAAAGTATTGGTCCCAGGCATCATAGTTCCCGGCTGGTTTCCAAATTGAAGATCAGGCCCATGTGCAGTCGTTGGAAATACACTATATAGCGTGACCCCACACAAGTCGGACAACGCTCTCTGAACTTGCCATAGGACATTTATATAACGCTACCTCCAGCCACCACGATAAGCCCCCAATTCGCAAACACAAGGTAAGCAGCTGAGTCCAACACGGTCCGCGAAGATGCAGCCGCCCCGCCATGGTAATGATCCTACGAACGACGTCTCTGCGAGATACATCGACCCTTCCGAGCTGCTATTCGACGACGGCGTGTCTGATTCGTCAAGCTACTCAACTTCGGACAGCAGTTACTCCCACGGCACGTCAAATGGCAGTACTCTTTTCGAGACGTCGGATGGGGAATCCGAACACAGCTGTGGATATGAGCTCTTGGGGTCTGACATGGAAACAGACGAACGGTCGGGCTCGGCAGCTGTAAGTGATTCGGATACCGCTGAGCTTGATCTCTCTGACCGGAGCAAGGTCGATAAAAGGCTGTCCGACGAATTCATTGTACTCAGCAAGCGGGTGGTCAATAGTGGTGGGCAACAAAGCCGACACTATCTAGTAGTGGGCTGGATCGTGGAAGAGAATCTCGAATTGTTCAAAGAGCTGACTATGCGGAGGTGATGCGAGGATAACCACGCAAAGACGCTGCGCCAATACCGGCCTGCAACCGTGCTTTGCATCTTTGGTTTTGCGTTATCCCTCACTCATTCTCGGATAGTCTCCTCATCGTCCTTCCTTTCTTCTCCTATGTTCGATATGTCATAGAAATAGAAAATTCATGAATTGCTCATTTACAGTACGATGGACAACCACTATTGGGTTACTGTAATAATGTATGTACTGTAGCGTCATGCGTCCTACATCATGCATCTGCAACGCAAGAAGACAACAGTGGAAGCCTAAATCCGATGCTTACATTTGAACTTCGGCATCGAGTAGTGGATGCAAGCTTTGGCCTTTGTTACAGTATGCTCGGCAGCCACCATCCTCAGCGATAGCATGTCGGCGCTGCAGGTGATCGCGAACTTGTGGGACAAGTCCGGCCACTCATGGCTCGCAACACACGCAAGCGGCACGGATTTCAAGACCACGCACAATGCGGGTGTGGAGGAATAGAGACCGTGGTCCATGTACTGATCGACTGCCCGCAACTGAAGGGGCTGCGCCAAGACATGCGGCAGAAGATTGGGAGAGCGTTCAACAACATTTCAGAGATGCTGGGAGGAGCAGGTCAAGGTAAGCAAGGTAGGTGGAAGATACCCCGCCCGACAGTAGCATCCTCGGAGCGGTATGTAGATATGAAAATGATGAAAACTGATTAACCACTAGCAGTAGTAGTGAAAGTAATTTAGAGATATATATATCAAGTCACGTGAAAACACTCGCAAAGCCATACTCAAAACTATATATATAGAAGGCTCGATATACGACTCAGAAGGTTTAATGAAAAGATGAAGAAGTTATATAATGACATTACTAGAAGTAATATCTTACTTAACCTTCATCTCTTATACTACTGTGAGAAATATCATCCTTAGCAGCGTGGTATGTATAGTTTATTAGATAATATTATTGCGCCGATCCAAACAGCACTATACGGTTTCTAGTCTAGATGGGTGCAACCGGGCACTCCACTGCGATGCCGCTTTGAAGTCCAACATGCTGAACTGCCTGAAGCTCTCTTACCTGATCTCACCTGTTCTCACCTGATCTCACCTGATCTCACCTGATCTCACCTGATCTCACCTGGTCTCACCTGATCTCGCCTGACTTTGGTCACTGATGTTTTAATACTCTTGTTGTTTATTACTTGTATATCATGTTAGTTGTGCCATGCATAAATTGAAGTTAGAAGATGCTACTGCCACACCGGCTAGGCTTCCTCCACACCACCCTTCACTCGTGCCACGGCTCCCGACGCGGCCGCCAGTCGATGCTTGCACTAGTATAGAATCAATAACTTAACGTACTACCAAACTACAAAACAAACTTAGGACATAAAAATGTGGGCATTCGGAAGGCTACAATAATCTCTGGTAGGCGCTAGCGGGACATCGCTACGCGACCACGACTATCGCCTCACCAACCACCTCTTCCACGTGTTGCTTTGCGCGTAGTGCTTAGATAGTAATGCAGTAAAGATTTCTCTGTTATTTCACTCCTGCTACGTAGCAACACCTTAGAGATTATGAGCCTGACCTCACTACCATAAAGCTTTACAGCAGCTAATAAGTCAATCTTAATATCAAACAAGGCGAAGGGCTTACAGCCAAGAAATTCTAGGTAGAACCCTTCGACAGCAGATGCCTAACCAGTCTAGCATTTTGGGGAGCCGCACGTTCCCACCCAAGGCCTTGTTACATGCAACGCTATTCTCATATATCAGCTTCACCGTTTTCATGGAAGGGAATATAGTGCACTGTACTGATCTGCTCAACCAAGTTTGAAGCCAAAGATAAAGGTCTTCCAACAGAACCGGCTGAGGATAATAGAATTGAAGCTTAGAATAACAAAAATCAATAACTGAAATTTTGCCGTGTCAAGAGAAAGTCACACTGAAAAGTATATGTAGCCAAGCACACATGAACCTTCACCACCTCTGCTGCATACGTTGCCTCATCTCATCAACCATCTTGAGGGTCTAGATAGATGATACATACAATCAATTTACTCCCTGCCTCCTGTTCCTCCCTTATCTTAACAGATATTAGAAGCACCTGTCAGTGATGTTTCTTCACAGGGTAGCGATAGTTTCCAGAAACAAAAAAGTCACCTTGATCTTCGTCGTGGTGAAGATTAATATATACCCGTCGTTCCTTAACAAGATAGTACCAATTATTCTTCGAGGGCTCAAAGTAGATAGAAACAGGGCCTTTCCATTTCAGTGTCGAGTATGGATTAGACTGGCCTCGAATATTCAGTCGTTCAGTCTCAGTCTGCAGGGTATTGATATTTAGATTTTCATTTAGTCTTCGTGTTGTGCTGCGTGTCATTCTTCGTGAACTGCTGTCATCATCTTTTGCGTCTTTTGCGTCTTTTGCGTCTTTTGCGTCTTTTGCGTCTTTTGCGTCTTTTGCGTCGGAATCACTTTCCTCGTTGCTTTCCTCATGAAATGAGATATAGCCATCATCCTGCGTATCGACTATGCTCGAATCCGTACCGAACCAGCTTGTAGCTTTCATGGTATTAACGGCTCGGCTGCCCTCGCTGGCCAGTTTAGCCAAATATAAGAAACATTCGGTTAATGTCACTTTTCCCTGATAGAAAGCCGGATTGTCCGATTCATCCTCCGCGACTTTTTCACATTTGACATTATGATGGATCACGGGAGAGTGGCGGAGTACCCACTCATTCTTCTTCTTTGGGTGAGGTACTTGTTGGAAATACATTGTCTGCTCGTATGTAGTGAGGAATCCGTACTTTGTCTCGGTCATGTACATATATTGTGCGATCTGGCCTGTCTCAAATTAATATATTATAAACATTCAGCCTTTAGTTTAGCTTACCAATAAAGTTGCGGAATGTTACAATTGCATTTTGTTGGTGTATAATATTATGCTTCCAGGGTGTTTTGGCTTCACCAACAACACATAGATCATGTTTATCCGTAATAAGAGTAATATCCGGGACCTTCTTGAGATCTAGAGGCTGTTTAGCACATTTGTAGTCCCCAAAACCCAAGCCATCATCAACATATCCGTTCAGCGCAATTGTCAAGGTATGGCCGAGGTTTTGGTTAAAGCGCGCAACCACGGAGTGCTCATCACCACAGTGAAGAAGTTGTTCAACAAATTTGTAGGCTCGGATGTCATCCTTCCAATTGATGGTATCAGAATATTGCCGTGCTTTCTGCTCTATATTCCACTGGGATAGGTGTGCTGAGAAGAAGAGCTTCTGTGTTGATATGCTAGTGGTACGGTATTTTTCATCAACACGTAAGTCCGGCAGTGGTTGTTGGATGATCTCCTTGCCCGATAGTAGATGCGGAGCCATAATTTAACCTCGTTGAAGATGAAGAATTGACTATAAAACTGGTGTAGATTAAGAGAAAATTTTGATAGACTACCTTGGTGTTTGAGAACGATGTGAGCTCACTCAAGTAGTTTATATATCTTTTAATTTATAGTGCTCTACTTTCAATTCCGAACATGTGTAGAAGAGCTCGGACAGTCTCTTGGATCTATGCATGCATTAAGTCCGTAAAGTCCATGAAGTTCGGAACGTTTGCGGAGATGGAGAACTGTGTGTGTTCTCTATCGTTACAGGGATTACCACCAGTAGTGTATTTAACCCAGCGCATGATGGTGTGGAGAAAATTTGTAGTTATGTACAGTACCTTCATCAAGACAGAATCTTAGGATACATAGTAGGGGACATATTGTTTCCATCTGACAGCACAAATTAGCATGGTGCGGTTTCATGTCGGGTGACTGCCAACAGTCAAGGGGTGAAGGTGGTGCCACCTGCATCCGGACGTAGCGTATCTTATACTCACATCATTCGGAATCGGGTGCCGGCAGATAGTCCGCAGCATAATCCATTGATTGGCTGTATTCAGATTTGCGCATTCTCCTGATGTAGCCCCCGCCGATGAGATCGATAACGGAATCGTAAGCGTCAAACTGCGTTCCTAGGCCAGGTTGCTCGAACCAACTAGCAATGGGTCCGGCATTGACTACAAGCGGTTCAAGAACCTCATACACGTGGTAATTGTAAGGAAAGAAACCATCTTCCGTATCCAAGTTTGTCGGCGGCAGCGCTCGCTCGATATATGGAGCGCCCAAAACAGCCAAGAATGTTCCAGATTCCGAGCCAAATCGATCGATCTTCTGTCCGATCGGCAGTGTTACATTGCCCTGGATGCTGGAGCCCTGGGTGTCCAGTAGGAATCCGTCCTCTGGCGGATAGATGTAGGTCCCGTTGGGGCGGATATCAGTGGTCCACTTCAGGAGAAACTCGAATGGACAGAGATCACCAAACCGGGAGTATGTTCGGAGTTCAGTGGTGAGTGGGAAGAAGGACGGGAGCGATCTAGGTCCTAGACGCGGATCCCCGCAGATGTATTTGTCATCCTGAAAGGTAATTCCGGCGCATGGATCAGGGTAACACCGGGGAGGATATTTGACCTAAATACAGCCATTAGTCATCGCTGCTGTAGCCAACTAGTCATAATTGTATCATTCAGTTTGCTCACATCAGGCGAAGCAGCGGCATTCTGGAGAGTCACGAGCGCAAGACCAGCGCTGAAGCAAAAAAAGATCTTCATTCTGCGCGATGGGAATATGACAGCTGCTATTAATGTGATGGAAGTTAGGCTTGTATTTATAAAACCTTACAATGCCAGGCCTTTCTTTGTTGATAAACGGCAATGCCTCGAGCGACCCTGGGCTATGCGAACAGGAATTAGACCGGCGGTGTTAAACGATCAAACGATCATCATTTCTGTTGGACAAGCTGCGGCAAGAGTGCCATAGAAAACTCATGGATCCTCGAACAATCACTAGACTAGAACGCGGGTCAGACCAGTGGAGCTTGCACCGGATTCGGTGTGTTCAACAGACTGTTCGCGTGTGGGTGAAGTTGAACTTGGCCCATATCGACAGGCTGATAGTGCTAACTACAGTGCTGAACCGCACCAAATGTACACAACAATGTGGCCCCAGGACCCATCTACCCGTGTTAAGTGGACAGTACCGGAAGCTTCAGAATCCTGGGGTCAACCCAGCATACAGTCAGCTAAGTTTGGCATTGCTTTCGATATTGATCTTCACGCTTACTACAGCGGCTCGGCAGATCAACCGGCGGCCATATCAAATCCTGTTCACTTTTGCAGTGTCCGAAACTAGACCCACTGAGCTTGGCTTCGGAGACATGGCAGTTGTTGCTGCTCGGAATGCAGCGGTCGGTCTACTAGGGCAAGTCTACAGGATAGGAGAGGTCGTTTGAACCAGTTGCACTTTCAAATAAGCTAGGTATGAGACGCAAGCGGACAGGATACAGTATCTACGGCAAGCAGATAAGGCAAAGAAGTGTAGAATCAGACTAGGAAATGCCCTCCGCAATGTCTTCCTCAAGCCATTCTGGGCTAGGTATCATCCCATAACATCCTTCAGATGCGGCCATCTTCAGTGATAGAGGTAGCTGGAGTAGCATGTCCTTCGCACTTGCAGATAGGTTCGGTTCAGGGTCTCCTAGATATCTAAAACGGTGTTCTAGGCAATTAGGGCAGCGGCTATCTTCCCTCAATTGTTCCGAAACAGCTGGTTCGGTACTGCTGTTGGCCATTGTGCGCTGAAGGCAATCCTCGCAGCGGCTGCAAACTCGACAATATAGTCCATATTTACATATTTCCCAACACAAACAGCACAGGAAGTGGTCATGCTTCTTAATCCGTATCACCTGTCCAGTTTGGTATATGCCTTTCCGGACACCGCAAGTGGGGCAAAACCGACGATTATTTTCAGTGTGTTGTTTCAACCCTTTTCCTGATACTTGTTTGTTGGCAAACTCATCTAATCATCGTACCTATTATAGTCAGTATTCCGTTGCGATGCAACTATGAGTTCTCATGTGATACTACCTTCTCCATGTCTCTGTAACACACAAGTATGATAACTTTTGCTCCACCGTTGTAGGCTTTTCAACCTCAACAGTAGAGCGTGAATACCTATTCGACTGAGACAAGATCAACTGCGAAGGGTAGTCAAGATGATTGACAACTTGAACTTGAAGTTCAGCAGGCAGATTTAGTTATGTGGCGGTAGATGAACGGACCATAGCAGCTTTGACGTTATGGATGTTGAGCGTGGGCTGAGAATCTTCAATATTCACGGATACAGTGTGGTGCGATCAATCAAGTCGGCAGCTGCCCAATGTGTTGGATTTGGCGTCAGCTGTTTGTCCGATTTGTTTGAATGATTCTAGTCACATCTGATTTTCTTTACAGTAGCGGGGGTATGCCTTGTACAGTAGAGAATACTTTAAAAAACAATCACAGAATACACTGGGCATTATGACAGTCTAACCATATATATCCTAGCGGTTCTTGGCGGATTTTCTAAACGCTACAATGGATTCTAGGGGGGCAGGCTGAAATCATGTTCATCATTGTACTTCCTGAATCACAACATAACATTTACTTTAAATTGCCTTGGTTCAAATGTTCAAATAATTGCCAACCTCTGCTAAAGCTTGTCACAGTAACATTTCCTCGGGCCCTCTGGCCTGGGCACGAGGAAACCAATATTATTGCTTCCATCATGCACGGTGCATGTTGCTGAACTTAGGAGAGATGCACGTAGAAGGCTGGTAGCAACTTCTTTCCTTAACCAAAAATTCTCCCACATCGTTCCACCTCCAAGTGTATATCAGTCTGCAATGCAGCAAGCAGGCTATTGAACAGATAAATCGTTGCCAGGGCGGCGCAACAGTGTAGAACCAACCTGCTGCCGCTGGACATGCCCAGCCGCTCCGGAACATTAAAGATGAGGTTAAGGCCCCCCAGCGCATTGAGGCCAACGTAGACGAGGTACGACGGTAACAACGCCTGTCGACAGGTGGACGACCACAAGCCCGCATGCATAGCAGGGGCCAGGACTATTATCCCATAGCCCAGGCAGATGAACGGAAAGTCGAAAAATGTGCCCTCACGAAAATTGACGCCGTGAGACAGGCACTGCACCGCCGTGAAGATCAGGATCACAAAATAGACTCGAGCTATCCACGTATCGTAAAAGAACTGGACATAAACAAATGCGGAAGCTGCCACGGCCATCAAGACTATAACGGCAGCTCTTTCCAAATGAGAGGTACGGTGGCCGAGACGGGTGCATATACAGAGAAGGGAAAGTGTCGAGGCAACAGAGAATATAGCGAGGGCGGTAAGCCCGTCACCCAGTGCATTTTGTGCTTGGTCGACGGGGAGAATGACAAAGTTGAAGAGATAGTTGGCTGCAGACAGACTAAGATATAGGAGCTCGAACAGGCGGATGAAGATGATGGGGAGATCGCCTCCTCGGACCTCAGACCAAATCATTGTGGGAGATTCAGTCAGACTGTTGAGAAGTGTGAGAAGAAGAGCAAGACCAATATGACAGGGAGGAGCAAGACAACCGACAAGGATCAGCCAGTGGGCATGCAGCGCCTATTTGAGCTAATATACCAAGACACCTGCTCCGAACGTGGTAGAACATTAGTGACTCGACCTCAGCCAACCATGTTCTGTTAACTTTTTCAGGCAGTGCTATGATCACTGAACACTAATAATGTAACTATAATCGAGGGGTTGCAGCATTTTAGGCCCGCCACGAACTCATGGGTATTCCGCATCGCAGTAAACAGGTAGTGGGAATCTTTGAACTGTTGAACTCTATAATCTAACTTTCAGATCTTGGCTATTGCTTTGATCCACTCGTATGCTTGCGGTGCTATGTATGGGCTTTACTGTGGGTACGAGATGGACCATCGCAAACGGTGGGCTGTCCCCTTCCCTGCTCAATGCCTTCAAAGAGTAGTTGTATGCATATATAGGTTATAGTGAGAGATGATGCAGAAGCGAAATTTATCTTACGAGGCGTAGCTACTTGACACCAGCGAGTGGCTGCTAACGCACCAGAGTGTGTAAGACTGTCCCTTAGTTTTCACAAGCAAGCGTCCGGGGACTTCCAAAGTCTGTCTATTCTCTGCCACGAAAGTCGCCAAGACAGATCAGGAGTTGAGGGAATACGTAGAAAAATACTGCTAGAGAGGGATCGGAGCAATGTGTTCTCGTTCCCGCTATACATAAACCGGGAGATAAGGCAAGGCTTCAACGAAAGTGATAGGAAAGTCTGTAGGCAACAGCTTCAGCAAGAGTAAGCTTCGCGCTGCAGCAATTTTGGCATTGGCTACGTTGTCAGATGATTGGTTCTGGTTAGCCCCACTTAATGAGGGGTCAAGCCGTCTGGCTTTGAATTGAAATAGCATGTCTTGGCTCTCCTCAATATCACAACAGATAACCGCTATATGTGCTTGAACACTATGTGCTTCATTGAACATCACTGCACATTGCTCATTTGGATATCCAATATGACGGGAAGATCTGAGACTTATACCATCATGTGCATTAGTAGGTCTCTCGCAGTGATAGGACCATACATTTCCCGTTTCTGGTACTGTACTTCGCGATTCCACTAAATGAGCACTTCTAACTTTATGCTCTCTTCGGACAAGAATTAGCTTTACAGTATCTACTCTGCTTTCTTCAACGTAGGTCTTGAGATATAGTCTGGAACACTTGATAATGTCAAATGTGTTGAGCTCGTCTCTCCAGAAGGCGAGAGCTATCAAGGACGCAACCGTCTGCGTCAGACAGATGAGTACCTCCAGAAAGCTTGGAGGAGACATGTTTAGCCCATCAAGGAACTCTCGACAGGATGTTGCGAGCGGTTACAGTATATCCAACCTGAATGACGATGATGAGAAATGAAGTAGCCCTAAGGGCCATTCGACCGTTCACAAATGAGTAAAGCCACACGATCTCTATCGTTGAAATATCGAGGATGATTATGCACAATCACAGTGAGAGGAACCATAGTGGTTATTCCGCAAAGCGTGGGTTGCTTCAGTAGCTAGGTGCCGCGCAGTTTTAGACGTTCTTTTGCAAGTTATCAAAGAACGACATGACAAGCCTGACGTCGTGAAAGGGAACATGATTGTTGAGAGTCTCTTCAGAACGCCTACTGCAACATGTATGTACTTCCTGCGTGGCCCCTTACAGGCAGTAACTACGTCCAACTCATTAGTCATGTTTCTCCACCAATCGTGATAGGACACATGTCGACCGTTCGCACCCAAGATGAGACTGGTCCTGAGATCCTCTATCCTCCCTTCCCACCAGGAAACCTATGGCAGGCAAAAAGAAAAGGAAACAAAGACCACCACAACTGCTCAGTCCGATCGCCCCTTCGGAGTCTTCAACCTTGGATAAAGGCCTGCCACTCACTCCTCGTCAAACCTCACCCTTTCAAGAAGCAATGAGTATAATCAAAGAAGCACGAGAATTACCGTATTCTGAGTGAGCTACTCCTTCCTAGAATGCGCACATGTAGTAGACGTTGACCTGAGTCAGATTTCTAGATTCTGAGCCTGTTTCCCTTCGAGTTGCTCAAACGGGACGCTCGTTTACGATCCATCGAAGGCTGCTCCACGCCAAGTCCCCACCATTGATTGCAGCCTTGGACAGTAATCTCAAGGAAGGCCAGAGCGGCGTGTATGAATTTCAAGAGGTGTCAGAGGGTACAATTGTGCGATTTATTGAATGGGCATACCGAGGCGATTATCCCGCCACAATCAGCGGAACCAGCATTGGACAGACTCCAACTTTACTGGAAAGCACGGAGACAGATATTGAAACGAAGCCTGCACACACAACTCCCGAAACCGACTTCACGTCAGAGAACCACCCCCTTCTTGTTCATATTCGTCTATACATATTCTCTGAGACTTACCTTGTTCCCGATCTTCAACAGCTGGCTTATGAAAAGTTGACTGCTTGCTTAACGGACTTGAACCAACCGAACAGTCTCGACACTCAACTCGCAGTAATTGATGCTTTACGGCTCTCCTTTCCCAGGCTCCCGCAACACGATAAATTGTTAGACTGGTTGGCTCAGTACGCTGCATATTGCTTAGACAAGCTTCGGGTACAGGGCCCATTTCATGATCTCCTTAAAGAGTTCCCGACCTTGAGCTCCCGCATGATACTGTCTCTAGGACCAGCATCGTCTCCACCATGGCGGACTACACAGCCAAAATACCCATTTGTCCAATACTCTGCTAAATGGTCGGAAGACAAATATGTTAGCTAGCGTAAGCCCAACAGCTCTGCTGGGTTATGGGTTCTTTCTGTCGTTCTCTAGAAGAACATGTCCTTTTGCGGTGACATCTTGTTTTGCTTCGTTCTGATTGGCCAGGATCAGTAGCCACTCCATTTATCTTCCAGAACAGTTTAAACCCAGTATAAGGTCTGGAATATCACAGGTATTTTTCATTTGCATGTACTGTGGCTGAAATGTTTCACTGTAATGAACAGCAACCATGATTTACATACATTATCTGCTTACGCACCGCACGCGATAGCTGACTCATCGTGATCTACGTACATATCATGCGAGAGTGGCCACCACATAAATAAAGACCTTTGAAGCACGTATATTGCCTCGACAGCAATAGCATGCTAAGCAACAATTACATTACATGGAAGGTAAAATTTCCGCATATCCTTGTGACTTTCAGGCCAAGAATTCACCTGCAAGGAATTTATGTTAGCATTCCCTCTGTTTCAGACTAAAAGATTGAGATATTTAAGTATGTCCGCCAGCTCAGCAAGTTTCCGGTGAAGCTTTTTGATTGAATAGAGATTGCTCTTTCATACACCACTTGAATAGTTCTTACAATACACATCCTTCTGCCTTCTTTTGCTTGAACTCATTATACCAGAAATGTAATCGCATACATTCTCTTTCGAGCCAGACCTCTCCTGCGAGGAACGCTAGGACATAAGCAAGGCCGGCATGCAAGGGGTGCTTATTGTTTGGATGGCATGTCTACATCAAGGCAGCCTATTACAAGACACCCCATCGCATTCCTCGCCCCGTGTCATCGCAATTCCACTGTAATGTTCGGAATGAGGTCTAAGCACTGGATTGAATAAATCAGACGTTCAGAACCATCATCCTCCTAAAGCTCTGAGATTACAAAAACCTGGCATCTTCGTGTGTTTGGTTGGTCTCCAATTCTTTACTCTCAAGCTTTTCTCAAACTGTATCTTCTGTCCATTTCATAACCAATCCTCCAACAAACCACCAATAAGGCTCAAGATTTGAAAAGCACTTATGGCTTTCATGAAGTCCTTAGCAATCGATTACAACCAGCCGCAAATATCGTAAGACAACTATGCCCTGCCTCTGTCGATGCGTGCTAATCCCCTTGCCTCGATCGTAGTCCCTACGAACAATCAAGAATCGTCGTCATTACCGTCGGAAAAAGGAATTACTCCATTCCAAAAAATTATCTCTCAGGGCACCTGCTGGTCCAAGCAAGACAGTCTCAGAATCCCCGTATTCTACTCAGAGATGTCGACGCGGATGTTGGCCACACCATCTTACATTTCCTATACAAAGGGGAATATGAAACGATCTTTGACGCGGAAAATCAAAGAGAGAAACACCAAATTGAACTTGAATATGAGAGAAGCGTCCAGGTTTACTATGCCGCCAGGAAGTATAAGATAGACGGCCTCGATGCGCTTGCCCAAAACTACATCATGACTCTCAGTGAAACCCTGTCAATTTTCCAGATCCTACGAAGAGCCAGATCAATATTTTCAAAATTGCCTGAGAATGAAGAATGGTTTCATCACTATTTAGACACCAAAATTTCTAACAGCTTCGCGGAGGGTGAAACAACATTCCAGCTGGACGAGTTCTACACGGAAATTGTGGATGATCCAGCATTCAGCAAAGCTGTAATGAAGATTATAGTCAAAGCCTTTACCACCGAGACCTCACGCTTGCGAAACATTCTTAGAGTTACCGGCGGCAGTGAGACAAAGAATGATGGCGAGCCTTCGTGTGAACAATCGTTTGCCGTACCCCAATCTGAGCCTACCGAAGGACACGACAGAGAAAAATATCTTGAAGTACGGCCCAAAGCACATAAAACTGCAAATAACTCATCTTCATCCGCTTCTGATCGGAACCGTCCGTGTGGTGAGCCTGCGGTCGAGCTCCTTCCAGTTGACTGCGAAGAGGCCAACCCAGAAGTTCCCTCCAGTCACGAAGATAGTGATAATTGGGGTTGGGGATTTCGGGGATTAGACAAGAAGAAGTAGAACAAGAAGAGGCCATCTAAGCAGCAAGCTGAGTGGACTGAAGAGTGATTAGACCCTTGGTTGTGACAACGAACTTTTGGGCGTAACCAATGCCTGAGCAAGACTGATATGACAGTTCTACTCCGTCTCAGATGCAATATAGGTCTTGAATATGCTTTATAAGTAGACATCTGATGTGTCGTTTTGTTGTTTAGCTTTGTTTGTATTGCCTCGCACAATACTGGGTTTAATCATGCTTTCGGTGCAGTAATCATACAGGCACAGACATGACACCTTTCGAAAGCAAGTCATGTAAGCTATGGCTTCCGTCCTATAACCCTCAGTTTGTTATGGGTCATATATCTAGTACCGAATGAAATTGAAACACCAAGAATTGATCCACGGCGTGAGTAGATATCTCCACACCGTGCTGGGGGTCAGTATATTTGCAACTCCATTCTGCATAAGAAGTTCAACCTCAGAAAAGTGGATAAAAGGTGCTCGTGTTGTGAGTTGCCCAGCTGCCGCAACGCTATAGAATCATACTACCATGTAAGTCTCCCCTTACAGTATCTTGCCGAATATAATTAGGAAGACGTTTGAATGGAGGGTCTTTCAAGCTAGTTGGTCTCCTCGAAGAGTATCCCTTCCACCCTTCCACCTACACAGCTCTATCCAAAGGACCTGTAGGACTTGGCTGTGTGGAAACTCAGTATCAGTGTGTTACCGCGAAGATTATGGACATTTCCTTAATGCGGTGTCACCCTTCCATGTGGCATCAAACATAGGGATAGCTAGGCGATTGTTTTGTGTTTCCATAGCTATTAAATACAACTTCATACACCAAGATCTACCACCAGTTTCCCATTGACAATTACCAGTGCCCCATGGCCTGAGCCCAGAACCCAATCATATCCGATACCATTACCGCGAACTTTCTCCCTAATGAGGATCTGACTCTTGCAAATGAAGGCTACATCGTAGAATAAGGTGGCGTCTTCAGTATCAGGGCGTCTTCTTCTATCAAGATAAATAATTTATATACTAATTCTAAGCTGGTGCTGGATACTGGACCTCTGGTACACAGGTTTAGCTGAAATATCACGGACCCCACTTACACCTGGAGGCCTTATTCTCCATTACGTCTTCATAGACGTGTATGTGGACTTAATATCCGTCGTATGTTACGGCTGATTGGGGACGATGTATGATGTAAGCAATGTCAGTCAACCAATGAGCGAAGACTGAATCGTTAATCTGCTTTAGTCCCGCACGTTGCGACGGGCAAATATATGCCTCAGTAGACGAATAGTACTGATGTTTATAATGCTTATGTCCCGGTTCGTCGCATAGATGGTATGGAGAAATCTATGACCTCATCCCATATGCGCATCCAACAGCGATGGGAGCAATACAGCGAATAAATGATATGCATAATCAAACAAGTCATCACCTATGTCTTTAGTCATGTCAGATTCACCCAAACCCTCGCTTTCGCCCAAGTCATCTTTTGGGTCAGCTTGCAGGAAAATGTTGACAACCTCTGTGTTTTTTCGTCTTGTACCGTATTGACCTTATTTTGGCTACGGCCGCCGAATTCTAAGTACCGCCTCTCCAGGAGACCACTCGTCACTGTTGAAGCGACAAACATATAAATTCCAGCAGAAGTGTCTCGAGCAAGAATATGTGGCAGCTTCCACAAACACAATGATAGTAATATGGGTGATGGATCGATGAAGGCTGGCCAGAGTATAGGCTCTGAGATTTTACAGGTCTAACTGGCGCAGGCTGTTAAGGTAGCATAAGCTATATTTGTGTATCGGTTATTATTTGAGTGTTGAACAGCAACCTACACTAGCCTAGACTAATGCACAGCCTCACTCATCTATCGACAATTTCTAGCGTGGGCTAGTGATAGCTTTGAATGAGGAAGACGATAGGCTATTATGTCTTTCTGTTGGCTCAAATTTGGAAGATTGCTTGTATTTCTCACTAGGCTGGGCTTGTAGCTAGCATGCACTTGTCAATAATCTATACTAACAGCTACTGATAGGTAGCAGAGGCTGTGCATTGATCCAGGCTAGCTGTCAGTATAAGCTATTGAGTACTTAAACACTATCTGCGCTTGAAGATAGCTTAAACTACTTACTAGCCCAAGCTTGTAGCTAGCCTGCACTAATTGATAGCTGACGGTATCAGCGATGTCACGAATTGATATCCAATGTCACGTGCAAGCTATCCACGTGAATCACAAGAAGACGTTTCCCTTGCATCCACCCATGTTCTGTTGCCAGATTTGTTTAACAACTCCCAGATACCCTACATAATACTATGTGTTACTCAATATCCGATCGAGATTTCGCTACGGACTTTTACACACAGGCCAGCGTAGGCTAGTAGGCAGCACAAGCTTATGTTCATGCGTAGGTTATCCTCGATTATCTAAGCCACTAGCTGCCATTAACCTCTTTACACCTGAGAGGCGGCCCTTGCCGGATGATTTGCTAGGTATTGCATCCAAATGAGCGATATCAAAATGGAGTCGATCTTGAGTTTCAGGATTAATGTACTTTGAGGAAATTTCAAAAGCCTGATCAACATAATGGCAGCGAAGAAGAGAAGCATCCGACGGCGGAGACCCAGTAGCAAACGATCCACATATCAACAACGTACTCGACGAAAGAACAGCCTGTTCTTAAAAGCTTTTGAGTATTGCAACTTGTGTGAGGCAGACATTGCACTCGTTATCCGCCTGAAGCACAAACTCTAACAGTCAGTGGCATCCGTCGCGCGAAGAGTTGGTAGGCAGCCTTTACGACTGTTACTGTAATATTAGTGATATTAACGAGCTCTTAAGGACACGTCGTACCCAAAACCAAGAGAAATAACTTGGGGCGAGCTAGCTGCTCAATATGAGATGTGGGAGGCCAAGATGTAAGATATTGGGGCGATGGTAGCGGGCACTTTGAACCTCAGATACGTTACAGTACAAGAATGCTTGACATTGAAATCTTTGTATAATCCGGGAAGAGGTATCTTTGTAGTGCACTTAAAGAATAGATATGTATGTTTGGATGGTTAAGGTTACTCCACACTCCAGAGGCGGCAGTTACCCACACACGACGAGAAAGCTTCGTAAAATGCATCCTCACACGATTTCTTTGCGCCTTTTGGCCGTTCGAGCCAGTAGTCATTACATTAGGGTCCTTTCTCTTATGGAAGTTTGCTCCTAGGGCTTTCTTTCCCTCACGGGATTTTTTTCACCTCAGGGACGTTTTGCCCCAGGGCCTTCTTTTCCTTAGGGGCTTTGCACCCCGGGAATGTTTTTCCCCTGGGGCTCTTCCTCCCGGCTTGTTTGAGGCTTAGTCATCGACACACGTAAGTTAACTTAGGAAGATATCGGCAGGCCATGTGACGGTCGGTATACCTTATCACCTACTTAACGATTGATGTATTGAATTGCAATTCTTCTTCTCTTCGCAGACTCCGTTACAGTATGTAGCTAAAGCTTCGCGCCCCACAAACAGCTAGAAGTCTGGCGGCATGTACTGTAATCCTGCATCGTAGTTGTGATTACAGGTCTAGTCGGCAAATGGCGCGTAGCCGTAGCGCGCAATCCAACTATTTAGATTCGTCGTGGATATCTTCTCCTAGCGTACTCCATACCACAATCTGTTCTTAGTAAGCATCGTTGTATCGTGGCCGCTACCGGTCGCCCGCGGAAATTACAGCTGCTGTGTGGATGGAAGCAACTTCTGGTCAAAGCCTGACAAGCTCGACCAAAGGGTGGTCGCTCTCCGGAACTTACGGAGCACATCCACATAATGGAAGTCTCCCTTGCTCCCGTGGCCGTGCCATTGCCGTTGGTGGAGTTGGGGCAAAGGAGGAAGTTCTTCGTCCTGCTAATGTCTGACCCACTCAAACTAAACATCGCAATTTCGCGCCGTTTGCAACCGCCCCGAGACTTCATGCTCCATGAAGCCTCTTGCCCCCGCCCTACGTCCTAAGACTGCCGACAGCCCAGTGGGCCATTCAATGCCAATATCTCAGAAACCCCTATATTCCCCAGACAAAAGGCCTCAACCGCCTGCCGCGACTGCAAGCGCAAGAGATGCAAGGTAGTATCCCTTCTTCTCCCTACCCATGCCCAGGCTGCCTCAACATGATACCCTGTTGGACTGGCTGGCCCAGTATACCGCGTACAGTATTGAAAAATTACGGCTAAAAGGCTCTTCTCATGATTTTCTAGAAGATTTCCCAGCTTTGAGCTCTCGTACAAGCTGGTGCATAAGCAGCTTCACCGTTATATACTCTTCTCAAAATTCTCGGTCTACTGCCAAGACGCTAGTCTAGAAAATGAGTGTAGGTGAGTGGGCTCTGGCACACGCATTCATGTGGGCAACTCCACCAAGTCTTTAAGGCACTATCCCCTACTGGATTATGAGTAGAATTGCCCATCCATAGGATATGAAATGGCTTAATGACTGTCAGATAGATATTAATTAAAATCAACTAAAGACAAATCCTATACGCCCAAGACGAAGTCACAGGCACATATCTCAGTTCTTAAAATAATTTGGCTTCCCTTTACCGAACAACGTGGTAGATTCGTGCAATTAATGAGCGAATTATGTAATTTGATCCCAAGGGTCCTTTGAACGATATGAAAAAAATTTCCCACATTCGAGTGGGATGACCCAAAGTCTGACGTATATTAAACCGGTAGTCGAAAAGCTGACATCTCTGTCACTAAAGAATCGACACCAATATCGGCAACGTGCTCCTGCGAGGAGATGAAACCCTTTGCTGCGGGCCCCAATTCCACGCGAGAGGTTGCAGGATATGCCTTATTGTGGTTTCTCGCAAAGTTAAGATAATCTTGGACAGTAAGCTTTTGGGTGCACGAGGTATCCTGCAGACTTCCAGCTTTTGAAGATGTGAGCATACTATCCCAACAGGTACACCGATGACATACCTATTGTGATTCCTGTCTTTTCAAGCAACAAATAATATACGCCCAACTCCATTTTCATTATTATAGCTTCATGAGGAATAAATCCATGACAAACATAGTGACTTGGTGTGACGTATTGTGCACCGTCTTGGTTGCGGAGGGAATATTTCTCGATTCCCAGTTCTTCGACAAGATCCGAAGTCGAGCGGCAAGTGATGCCGAGTAATTGAAGTAAGTCAGGGTCTATAATATAGACGTAGCATTCCCTTCTGTCAGAGAATGTCGGTCTTTTGCTAATCTTATAGATTCTCGCTGGACTTGTTGAAACGGATATAGTTGGCGGGAATGACCTGTCTCCGTCTCTCAAATGATGCTCAATGTCTTCTTTGGTGAGTTCTTTCTCAGTATATGAGAAATTTACCATTGCAGGACTAAGGAATCCTATTTCCTCGTAGTTAGTGCTCACTGAATCTGGGGAATCAAGCCTGATTTGAGGATAAACACCGATCGGTGACCTAGATGTTCCCTGAGCTGTAGCAAAGTCGTTCAGAGTCCCTTGAATCTTTGATAGTTTAGCGTTGAATCCCTGAAGAAGTGTAAAGAGGTCCTGGATAATTCGTGATTCGGCAGTCAATTTTTGGATCTCAATGTCATGCTCTGATTGGCCGTGTGTATATAGCTCTGCATTCTCAGGCCCTGCAACCAACAGGGGGATAACATTCAAAATTTCGCCTTGTATGCGAGGAATGTTAAATCGGAAAGAATTAAATACGCGTAATGTATCTCTGAGTTTTGATGTTTCCTTTTTGAGTATTTCTGACCTGGCTTGGATGTTGAAGTTGGCAGCTCTCTTCTTTGAATATTCTTCGGAAGACTCCTCGGCAAAACCGACGTATTTCGGTGAAGGAAAATGAGTGCGTAGACCGTATTTATCTCTCTTCATTTTTAAAGTCTTTAAACTTTGCTAATTTTGTTTCAAAAGACTGTATTTTGACTTCAATTGCCAAGTACATCCATTTAAATAGGATATCCTTTGTGTATTAAATAAGCAATTTACGCTGCACGTCATCCGCTTCCGGACAACGCAACCCTTTGGTTGCACGGTGACAATCGATGGCATGGTGAGAAGAATCATACTAATCCTAATATAGAATATTCCCTACTGTTTCTGTAGTAACTGAGTATTCCGGACCTTAATTATACCTAGAAAAATGCTGCATGCAGAAAGGTTGCAGGCGACTTGAGATGAGGCTACGGTAACCTCCACCGGAGACGTCAAAGGAGATATGTTCAGGAACACAACCTCTTTTCAGCAGAACATTGCACAACAGTGCCTATCATCAAGGTCATCAGTAAAAAGTATATATAATATAATATATATACATATCATGATCGCGCAAAAGTGTAAGTTTTAGACCGCATACCCTTCCCCGTGACTACCTAATTCGAGAAGCTATCTGTGAGCCCAGAATCCCAGCCAAAATGTATAGTTTAAATCTCTAGTTGCAAAAATAATGAAGATTATGAACCTCGAGTGCCTTGACTTACTAGAAACAAGTCGATCCCAAGCCTTTGCTGTCATGGACCTATACATATGCATTTCACCGAAACACATCTCAATTGGGACAGAGAGACTGTGGAACAAGAGGCAGCAACTTTATCTAGTGGTCTTCTCAATTGATGTCCAGTTACTGGCGTCCAACTCCTGTGATGTGATAGTGCGGCTCTGGAACCCGGCCACGGTTCCCTCAAAAGACCCTTGAGGACTGTAGGGATAAGCTCGAATCCTGCCAAGGCCATTCATCCAATACGAACCCATAGATTCCACTACATTGTACAGTAATTCTTACATTAAATACGTTTGAACGATAAGTAAGTATCATGGCTCCCTCCTGAGACTATGTAAGCCTTCTTATTTGGCAATAATGCCAAATATATGCCTGTCCAGTGACATCAGTCAGGTCGGGTTTCCTTCATTGGATTCCGTATAGGATAGATATATATCAATTGATTACTTCCTTTCTCTTTGCAAGAGTAGGAAATGAGAGAAAAATAATTCAAATAGACTTGTATCTCTTCATAAAGGCTAGAATTCCAAATAGTGGCAAATCCATAAGGCCCGGTCGCCATAATTAATTCTACTTCGTCTTGCTGAGTAAGGCGCGCTCTCCAAACCTATAATATCCTAGAATTCCCTATTAACCATTCTTTTCAACATCAGGAAAATTGTACCTTTATTCATGGACGGTTTGGTTCAGGGAAGTAGTAGCTCGAGAACTTGGAGTTACTCGCCGAGCCATCATGCTCTCATACTTAGCCGAATGCCAGAGCCCAATAACCTACACTCATTTTCCGGGCTAGCGTCTTGGCGGTAGACCGAGAATTAAGAGAAGGGTATAAAATGGTGAAGCTTATTTTGCACCAGCCTGTATGATGATTTCACTGAGTCCAGCACAATCTCCGCCATGGCAGACTACACAGCAGAAATACCAGTTTACGCAATACTCTGCTAGATGGACGGAACGATCTTTGAGAATCTTAGTAAGCCAACGCAGCCAATTGAATGTCGCGGTCTTGTCAGACTGCTAAATATACACCGCTTAGCTAAGCCTACTGCGTTTGTGCTCTGCTCCTTGGTATGTTTTATCTGGCGTTGTTCCAGTAACAGCTTGCTTTTTCGTGCTCGAATTTTCATGTCAATATTCAATATGGTATGCTTGCTCTTCAATGCGGCTTCGAGCCTCAATGTCTGTCTGACTGTCTGTAACGAATGAAGTAAAAGTGCCAGAAATCTACGAATCTAAGTCCGCAGAATTGCGTCGATAACTCCTTGCCGGCATTTGTGCAAATCCGGAGTTATGTATGACGCTACTCTCTGAGACAGTGAGTTCTGCGTTCATTAATCGCTCTGGGGGAGTGTATGTAACTTGCTTTTGTTTGCGTCGAGCGAAAAATAGACGAACGCAACGTGGCCTTTTTACGCTGTGTAAGAAGCAGGCCAAAAAGCATTATGAGCAGAGGCTACTACATTTCAAGGATCATGCACATAATAGCAATAATCAGCCAGAATGCTGCAAGCAACCAAAGAAGAGCTTTCTCCATACCACTCATTGGTATGTGAATCCCTTGCAGTCAATTTCTTTGCCCCTTCAAAGCCGCGAGCTGCAACCGCCTTGCGAATGGAATGTGCAGCGAAATGTACCTTGTGAGATCTTAGGCCTTCGGACCTATAAAAGGCCTGGAGCAAAGCTTGGTTACAATACAATTGCCCGCTTGCGATCTCGCGGCCGCGACCGGACGATAAAGCTGTGATATCGTGATAAGGTTGCCGTCTCCGTTGGAGTTACGATCGATTTGGTTGAGTCTTTCGGGTGCCCTGGTATCTAGATATCAACTCGTTCCGAGCAAGGTTCCAGATCAAGGCTATAAAGAGGCTGGGTCATCCTCTTTATCTCGAGCGCTAGTCTTTTCTTCCATTGACCTATCGATATACGCAGGCAAACTTTCCCCTCCAATTACGGCTGAGAAGAGGCCCGATCTTGAACGCATCATGGATACACCGCCTGACAAGGACTGGATCGCGCTTGATCTGGATCGAGTAGGAGACGGGCTTGGCCTCCAGACATCCAGAACATCCGACAGACTCAACCAAATCGACCGTATTCGCGCCAATGGAGTTGGCGACCATATCTCGCTACCGCAGCTAGCTGTCTGCGGTGACCAGTCCGCTGGAAAGAGCTCAGTTCTAGAGGGCGTCACCGGGATTCCGTTTCCCCGCCAGGATGGCCTCTGCACACGGTTTGCGACCGAGATTAGCCTTCGACACGAATCCGGACAGCAGCGTGCTACTGCTATGATTATTCCGCATGTCACTCGTACAGAAGAGGAAAAGGCACGTCTCAATGCGTTCCGGCACGAGATACATGATTTCGCCGAGCTTCCTGGTATCATTGAAGAGGCCTCAGCGTTGATGGGAATCCGTGGATTTTCCGCAGACTTGAACGCGCCAGCCTTTTCAGCTGATATTCTCCGCTTGGAGTTGGTTGGAAACACGGGTGTACATTTGACAATCGTGGACCTACCTGGACTTATCTCTGTCTCGGAGAAAGAAGAGGACGTCAAACTCGTTCACGATCTCGTGGACTCATACCTCGAAAATTCGCGGACTATTGTTCTTGCTGTGGTTCCTGCTAGCAGCGACATTGACACCCAAGGAATCATCCAACGTGCTCGTCATTTTGACAAAGCCGGCTGTCGAACAGTCGGTATTATCACGAAGCCTGACTTGATAAATGTCGGTACAGAGGCTCGTGTGGCTCGCGTGGCAAAGAACTTGGATGGCACCAAGTTGAATCTGGGATTTTTCCTCTTGAAGAATCCAACTCCAGCGCAGTTAGATCAAGGCATGACATTAGCAGAACGTCGGAAAGCGGAGTTGGAGTTCTTCTCTACCGGCCCATGGAAAAGTCAAGGTATCGACCCTTCCCGGATCGGGATTGATAATTTGCGCATCTTCCTCCAAGAGCTTCTTGATCGCCATATTGAGCGAGAACTACCGAAAGTTCGACAGGACGTGCGCAGATTGCTCTATGAGATAAACGAGGAACTTAATGAACTCGGTCAAGAGAGATCTTCCCCAAGCCAAATTCGTGTCTTCCTTACGAAAATCAGTAGTGATTTTCATAATCTAGTCAAAGCTGCTGTCGAGGGAGTCTATAGTGGCCGCGACGCTGCCTTCTTCGTTGTTGATGGAAAGGATATGTTTGTTCGTCTTCGTGCTGCCATTCACTGTGAAAATGAGACCTTTGCCAGTTACATGCGGGATCACAGTGAAAAGCGAAAAGTTGTTGCCAATCCACACGCTGACGAGATTGAGACGGAGGAGGAACAAATTCTCCTCACAGATAAACAAATGATGTCATGGGTCGAACAGGTCAGTTCATGAAGAGAATGCTCAGTTGTAAGCTCTGACACAAAACAGAAATACCATGAGACTCGTGGAAGAGAGCTTCCTGGCAATCACAACTACGCACTGTTGGCCGAATTATACCATGCTCAATCGGACCGCTGGGGAAGCATTGCCCGTCGGCATCTAGACAAAACTGTTTCCATAGTTTCGCAATTCATCCAATGCGCTCTTAAACATGTTATCAAAGACATGAAAGTTCGGGAAAGCGTATCCAAAGTGATCGATGCCACGCTGGAGATGGATATTCGACATGCGCACGAGGAGCTGGAAACTCTCTTGGACGACGAGAAGCGTCAGCCAATTACATACAACCACTACTACACGGACAATATCCAGAAATCGAGACAAAAACATTCAAGAAAGCAGCTACAAGAGTCAATCGACTCGGCGATTGAAGGAGAGTGGAATGGCAGGTTTCATTTCCAGAATTCTTCTGACGAAGTTCGCAGGCTGGTAACAGCTTTGCAGGATCGGGTCGTTGTGAATATGACCGAACAGGCTTGCATTGAGGCTCGAAATGACCTGGCAGCCTACTACAAGGTGTGATTACATGTGCCATACAAGATCTCCGAATATTAACTTGTTTCAGGTGGCAATGAAACTTTTCGTCGATAATGTCTGCCGTCAGGTGATTGAACGGCACATTCTAGCCAGGCTGCCTGGTATCTTTGACCCAGTCAGTGTTAGTGCTTACGAAGACGAGGCACTACTCGACTTGGCTTTGGAATCTGCTAATACTCGCCACCGTAGGGCAGAGGCGCTTCAGCTTCAGGAAGCTTTGGAAAAAAGCCTTCGAGATCTTGGAAACTGATAGTGTGCCCTGGCTCTGTTTGTGGTTTTTTTGCCCCTTGGATTTTTCCCACAAACATTTGCGAATGCGGAGCCAGCCCCATTAATCGTGTCAAATTCTGGTTGTGTTTTTCAGCGTGATATTACATTGTCTAGCTCTTCAATGAAGCCGTCTGAGATTGCTCGAATTGTCTATTAGAATTCTTGACGTAATCTCTCTGACGTGTTATACACGAAGAGATTGCGAACTACTATTGTTTCTGCCACACGCTCAAGGATGGTTCATAGATAGTTCTCCTGAAATTATTATTCAGATGCTGATCCCAAATCAATAGAGCCTCATAATTCTCAGTATTGTAGGAATAGATTGGTCGTTTTGCAGATATGAGATGCCTTGGCGGTACTCAGTTGTTTCTGCCTTTCAATATACGCTTGACTTGAAGACCTAGCCCCGCCCAAGCCCGCTCTCCAGGGGTTCCCCTAGCCCTCACTTAGTTGGCCGCCCGGTTAGTACGCGGAAATACACTTTCACCGACTCCTTGGTCAGCTGACGGAGGCCTGCCGCCTAGACGAGCGCCGGTCGGAATTGGCTGTTTCACAAACCGACATCAAGCAAATGGCTAAAAGCAGCCCACCAAATTACAAAGCGCTCTTTTTAAGGGTGGAGGAGGAACGCCGGCGGTAAACTGAGCTTAGGAAACAAGCAGAAGAACGCCAACGGCAAGCAGAGACTTAATTTCGAGGGGAGAGTCGTAAGGCCGGCGGTCCGGCTTGCCGACAGGGCTATATCAATGTGGCTTATAAAGCCAGCTAAATATTAGGTCGCGATAATAAAAATGGCCAAAGACGCGGTCGGTTGTCCATAGGTGGAGGTGAGTCAGAGTTGTGACATCAGTGATGTCTATCGGGAAATCCACACCGGCGGCGTTGTCTGAGTCTAGGCGGAAAGGCACTGCCAGCGGTTTCGTCATTGTCGCTGCTATGGCCAATGTTGTGATGTGGTGAAGGGCGGGCCATGGCTCAAGGGAGGGAGTCAAATGACCGGTCAACTGAAAAGAGAGACCAGGAGAGGGTGGAATCGCGAGGTGACTGCCAAAATGTAGATGTTATGGGAAGATGAAATGGCTGAGGAGCGTTAATGGAGAGAAGGGAAGGAGGCAGGGTTGTCATTTAGAAGGAGAAAGAGAAAGGCGGCCCCTGCGGAGGCCCTTCACTCTTAGGGTGCCAGTCATTTTCGGCTGGGACTCAGTTCTCTAGGACTACCTAATTTCCCCTAGCGATGCCGAACGTAAACCGAGGCTCATGAGATCAAGCTGCAGGGCTTCGACCGCGTAGCCTGACCATTCTGGCCTTAGGCAGCATGCACCCAGGAGAACCTTTGGTACCAAGTAAACAAGCCCCGAAAATGCCCAAACAGAACAGTTTAACCCCAATATAAAGTCTGTAATATCATAGGTATCCCCTCCTAATGTTAGGTAGGTCACGGGCGCCGCTACAGACTCTTATTAGTTCCACTCAGGAGCAAGGCGGACGCGCCGGGCAGAATGCACTATGGACGGTAGTGTGCGAACAACAGGTAACTCCTTCAGAATATTTTGAAGTACGAAGCTGGGCAAGTGCGGGTGAGCCTCGAAGGTGCTGGTCAACGGCATCTTGGTCGCGAAACCACCGATTGCAGGATGCGTATCACTTCATAGTAATAGCTTGTTCAGTCTAACTTGCGAAATTCGAATTTATCTTGTTTGTAGCTGCCCCCCATTTTCAAACCGAACACAAAGCCGCTGAGGGTGCCCAACCCGCGTTGACAAATCAGCTGTGGCTCACGGCAGCAAACTCCGTCATGCCAACCTTTCCATATTTTGAAATCTTCGAAATCCGGATGCATTATCGAACATTGCCTAGCCACTCGAGGCATGTCTAAATGTAATGGTGGCATGCTAGCATTCCAACGACCCTCCAAGCTGCCATTAGTTCTGGGCAATGGCCACCTATATATAGGCTGTCTTATGTTTTTGTTCGAGAACGCTGCATACACTCTCGTGCGATTATACATGATTTATTCCTTTCCATTATGAGGGTAATGTGTGAACCCTCCCTTCCCCTTCGTGATCAGATCCTAGGTCAGTATGTATAGTTTGTTCAGCCCAGACCAATACTGACAAGGTATTCACAGCAAATCTCCGCTTCCTGTTCGGTAATAACGTTGACATCGTGACGTGCAACGGAGGACATGGGAACGATGTGGCCGTCTTTGCATATAAATGGGGGATATACGGCGAGCGGGTAAAAGTCATGCAAGCACTGGGCCCTAGCTGGGAACGAGCATTGCGAAAGTTGCTCGACTTTTCGTCACGATGCGTTCAAGACTTCCTTCCCAATCAAGTGATGGAAGATCTCCAGACGTGCCATATAAGCTTGCCCCAGTACATAGAAGAAAGCAACACTTTCTAACTTGAGCTCGGTTGATGCTGTACTGCTCCTTGGTATGCAAATTACTAGGGAAGTTTGGACAGTCGAGATCAATACTGAAGTTGTTTAAGCGGATACAGGTTGGGCACCAATTATTTAACACGGAAGCAACAGCTGACATGCTTACAAAGAAGAATAGCGATGAAGCTGAACCAGAGCAAACGCTGCTTAGTACGCAGGCTTTGGACTTCTGTCATGGGGAGCAGGAAGACTACAGAATCGTTATGCGTGTTTAGTGCCATTTTGCCTCATAAGGGGGCATTGAGGCATATTAGATATCCCACCCGCGCATGCCTACTACAAATTATTCTCCAAATCTTATCTACTCTTCCTGTTCTTCCCCAATCATGCTAGGTGGACTAGAAGTGCCAATAAAGAGTTGTTTCACTGAACAGCTATCTCCTTAATAGTATATATCCTCTAGTTTTTCATACTTAATCAGATATTTTATCTATCTGAAACAACCTAATTTTATCAAGTCCTTCCTGTCATACAGATTATATGGTAAATCTAGAGCTACTCCAGATGGTTATGTTGTTCAAATAAACCGAGGAAATCTGCAACGTCGGTCAACGCTTGCCTCGTCAGGGCCAATGCTTAGATAACATGCTTCCCGATACTGTACCGATGTCAGTGTGTATACATTCTAATTCTTCCGTGTTGGAGAGTCAAATTCCGAGCCATTGATCTCGTCCAACTACGTGCAGTTGCTGTCTGGTATGTAATTTGAAGCTCTAGAAGACCCCTTGGGAGGGTACAAGCTCTGTTGCCCCGAAGGAATTCCACTCGACAATCCCGATTTACAGCATATCAGAAGCACTTCCAGGCAAGGGCGGTGCAATGGTTACACTCTCAAATTCCAACAAAGCAGAAAAATGACTTAGCAAACCGGAGAGCTGCCAAGGAATGTGAATCGCGTGCCTATGTAAATTCAAACGTTGACGTCCGGGAGTACAGTGATCTGCGAAATCAGCTTGCCCAGCAATATACTTCTCAATTAGTTTAAAGGGTTCTTGGTGCGAATGCTAAGCCAAATGTGTTGAGTATATACTTTGATAAGGCCATCATTGCAAGCGACATTGTTTAGTAAACCGGCAACCAAAGATTTCTTCAACAACAAAACAGTGCCGGGGGGGAAGGCTCATTTCGCAGATCGCTGTATCCGAAAAACAAAAATGACAGTCAAGCTTGAGGCCCAGATTGAGGCCGACATTGTCCTCGCCGAACCCGCTTTACTTGAGAAGATTGATAGGTTGTTCGCCTGCAATGTGGGTGAATACATCAATCTTCCACAATTGGTCGTTGTTGGAGATCAGTCCAGTGGCAAGAGCTCCGTGCTGGAAGGCCTGACAAAGCTGAAATTCCCTCGAAACAGTGGCCTTTGCACACGATTTGCGACCCAGATCATATTCCGGAGAGATCCGAGCTTGAGGGGGAGGAAAATTTCTGGCTCGATCATTTCAACAACGCACAAAATCGAAAAGGGAAACGCCAGTTGGAGTATGTCGGATGCTGAGAGTCTCAACGAGGCGGACTTTGAAAGTTTGATAAGCGAAGTAAGTGAGTTTTCAAAAAGAATGAGGGTTAAATTTAACTGTTCCAAGGTTCATAAAGCTATGGGCCTCTCAACGTCGGCGGGAGACAACTTGCCCACGTTTTCCTCCGACGTATTTCGGCTAGAGATTATTGGACCCCATGAAAATCACCTTAGCGTCATTGATGTTCCTGGAATTTTCAAGACCACGACACCCGGCTTGACTTTCAAGTCAGATATTGCTCTTGTGAGAGATATGGTACTCAATTATATGAGGAATCCTCGGTCAATAATGCTAGCTGTCGTCCCAGCCAACGTGGATATTGCAACACAGGAGATCAGAAATTGCCAGAGAATTGGATCCCGATGGAATAAGGACACTCAGAATCCTTACCAAGCCCGATCTCGTGGACGAAGGAGCAGAAGAGAAAATCATCGAGCTAGTCGAAGGGAGCCAAGATTCGGAAGAATTAGGCTGGGTGGTGGTTAAAAATCTCGGCCAGAAGGACCTCCAGGATCCCTCCAAAGATCGTGACATTGCGGAAGACATTTTCCGACATTCGCCTCCCTGGAATCGTCTGTCTAAGGACAACTATGGTATTGAGGCTCTTCGAGCACGATTGCAAACACTTCTAGCTTCTAATGTGCGGCGAGAATTTCCGTCGGTAGGTGATCATTTTGTAACTGGTGTGCGACGAAGCCTGACCAAAGATAATAGGTGCGATCTGAAGTCTTGAAACGCCTGAAAGAATGCAAGAGAGCTCTGGAGGGCTTAGGCGAAGAGCGTGAGTCCACAGAACAACAAAGAAAATATCTGCTCGAGATTGTATCGAAGTTCCAGCGTATCACCGAGAATGCTCTGCAAACAAATTATGGATCACAAGATGCATTTGATGACGAGCCTGAACTACGCTTGGCAACCTTGGTTGCCAACCGGAATGCACTGTTCTCCGATGAGATTTCTACCCATGGCCACACGTACGCCTTTGTGTCTCATACTCATGACGACGATTCAGAGGATCAACGTAATCGTTCAGTGGCTTCCCCAGCGAACTCTGTCTGCTCGGATGCTGACAAGTTTGAAAGCGAGGAAGAGTGCAAATCTATCCCCAGCAGGAAGATCAACAGTTGCAGCGATATTGAGGACATCTTGCATGACTGCGTTCCTATCCAAGACTCACAGACCCAAGGTACCCTCGCTTGGATTGAGAAAATCTATCGGGAGTCTCGTGGATTCGAAATTGGTACTTTTAATTCGACCATACTCTCGAGCGTACTGAAAAGACAGTCTGCAAAGTGGCCGTCTTTCGCTGAGGGCTACATCTGTGATGTTATATGTGTGGTTCACACGTTCATCAAAAAGGCATTGACCATAATCTGCAACGATCAGAGATTAGGTCAGAACATCCTTTCATTCCTGTTGGACGGTCTTAGCGACAAATATCGACAGGCTCTTTCGACAACGAACTTCCTGCTCCGCATCGAAAGAGACGGCACGCCAATGACGCAGAATCATTATTTGAATAGTAATCTGCAAAAATGGTCAGAGCCAACCCTGTTTCTAAATACGAAGTTACTAACGTTCGTTTCAGTCGGCAGGAACGCATCACTTCCGCAGCGAAGAAGTCATCGGTCTCCGTGACTTACCAAAATGGTTCAAGTGGAGAATGTGTTCCACTTTCTGACCTAACCCAGATCCATCATATGAATAATATGGAGCAGACTGTGCAAGACATTCACGACATATTAAAATCGTACTACAAAGTTGCTCGGAAAAGGTTCATTGACAACATGTGCATGCAAGCGGTGGACTTTTATCTGGTCACGGGACCAGAAGCTCCAATGGGATTGTTCTCTCCCGCTTGGGTCTACGATTTATCACCTGAGCAACTGGATGACATTGTTGGAGAAGAAGCTTCTGTGCGAAGGAAGCGCAAGCAGTTGAAAAAGCAGCTCAAGGACCTTGAGTCTGGCAGAAAAATCTTGGTTTAGTCTGGAAGAGTAAGTAGATAGGCGAGATAATTAGTTAGAATACGAAGAACCAAATACGTACTATACTACAGCTGAAGTTTGAAGGTACTTGGTTTAAGTTACTGAATCAATGGTGTAAATTGGCGACACCAGCACCGAAACCACTTTAATCGATCTCACAAAGAACTCTACAGAGCGGTCTCCTTGCTATATACTTTAACGATGCACACAGCTCATTGAGCCTCAGATGTGTATCTGATTTAGATAGGAAGGATTGACAAGAAGGGCGAATAATTTTACGGTCATTTCCCTACAGAGACAGGCAGGGTACGGAGGGATGAAGCCGCAGAGCTTCCCGAATTGATCTCTCCCAACTCGGAGTATAACGCCACGATTGGCAATCAAAGGAGCAATCAATGCCGCGGCGTCGCGGCTTACGAGAGAGGAAGTTGACACCGGCGTATTGTTCCGTATCATCCGCGCTAGAACATTCCCACTAAATCATCCGTCATGAGTCTCGACGTAGCCGCACTGTGGCGCCACCGTCTTCTCGTGCGGCAGAACAGACCGCCTTGTCCCATTAACGTCCCGTAACTGAAAGTGACCGTATCATTCCTGACTGGATTGTCTGGGTGAACGGCCCCCGCCCGACCGGTAAGTACACGTTCTATTCCCAAATGTACACCCATCTCATTGCCGCCTCAACTCACAGGTTCCTCCCGTGGGAGTCTTTCTCAGAGTGACTCAACGTGGAAGCTGAGCACGCTGTGAACACAGAACTTGAGGAGTCCTCCATCTAAAGTGCATAGAACTGCATATGCGCCTCGTGCTAATTATGGCGTCGAGGAACTCAAACATCGCGTACTCATGTTATGATTGCTGTGACTAACCCGTCAATTTATTCACTGTGTACCGTACTTCATCGCAGGTTTTCGAGCATGAACTTTATGTCATATTTTGCGCCTTCAGAGCTACGGCACAGAAGTAGTTATTATTATTAATTCATACACTGACTCCTTGCCTGAGCAATATACAGGGTACTAGTACCTCCACACTCTATATACATCTATTCGTCATAAACTATTACGGTACTTTCCTGACGAACTTGGGATATGTCAAGGCCTGTGATGGCCAGTGCCTGGAATTATATTATACCACCCTTGTAGCGTGCGACTTCAAAATCTCTATAATGCCTCCGCAAAGTCCAGGACTGCCCCGAGAACACTACTGTCTTACAGACCATCTTGAGATCTAATCTTTCTATCTTGTCCTGCTCCTCCCAGCATATCTGAAATATTATTAAATGCTCCTCCAATCTTCCGTCGGAGGGCTTGGCGTAGCCCACTAAGCCGCGGGCAATCGATTAACACGTGGACCACGGTTTCCGTTGCCCCACATTCACATTTCTCATCGTCTCGGAGCCCGCACTGTGTTTTATATACATTGCCAGCCATGAGTAGCCAGTCCAGAGTTGGGTGAGTAAGTAGGCTTGATTTTGGGAAAGCAAGCCATAGAGCCAGCGGATCCGGTTAACCAGTAGGGCCCGGTCAATGCGGCAGAAATATTCTCCGTTTCGAGAGGCCCTCCATTCTTGGTACTATTTATTACTAATATTCTTGCGGATGTATCTTTTCTCTCATAACAAAAAATGTTTAGAAAAGTGTCTCTTTTCACCCCCTACCATGGCTTTGGTTGGATAATCCGCTACTTCATTTCCAGGGTTGCCGCAGTGTCCCGGAATTTATTATAATTACAGTAGAATCCCTCGCGCCCTGAGCTACCCGGCCAACTGGTAAATCACCTGAATGATATACTGGCCTGATTTGTTCCAGAAAATTTGATAACCTGCAGGGTTGATATGCTGTCACTAAGAATTATCACTGGCTCTGCATCTGTTACTCTGGATCTCTGGTTCTTCTGCGCGAGCTGAAAAACCAGCCTGATTGTGTAGTGGATTGCCATTAGCTTAACTGCGTAGACGAACCAGGACTCCATTTAACTAATACTAATTTATCAAGATCCTATAATCTGCTGGTTGTGGTTGAGAGCCACCGCTGCGGCTCCTAGCTGATTCTCTTTACCCGAGGCATCCGAAGAGACTGTAATATTAGATATGACCGCTCTTGCTAGAGTATTCATCGATACTTTCTCCCGATCCGGCTCAATTTAAATATCGGTGAATGATTAGGCTCACCAAGGTACTAGTAGTCTAGAATCAATTCTTTCCAGGACTCGCAGCCGCGTGAGATTCATTATCTATAAAGTTCCTGCCAGGGGAAAGCGCGCTCTATTACTGACCCGGGTGCTGCGTACTCTTGCCCAGCTGATAACATCATGGACTGGATAATCTTCCGGTAAAGTGCTGAAGCGGGCTATTACAATCTATACCCGTTACTTGAGTCGCAGGCGGGTAGGCAGCATGTAGACTTTAATTTCAAAAGCTGACGTGGATACTGTCGGGAAGGCTGACAGGATCCGAATAAAGGCGATCTGTTGAACTGTCTTAAGAAGTCTCAGATAGATCTTATCTTGGAGTGGTTTATACTAGATTATGGATATATAATCCAGCACTGGTATCACGCAGGCCTGGTAGAGCTGGCATATCTGTTCTAGCCGAAGGTGCCGCAGCCCACTCAGGGCTATGTTTACCTTGCTTGCTCGTTGAACTGCTCTCTGTACGTGTTCTTTCCACCGCAGCTCCTTGTCACAGATGACTCTACGGTACAGTATCTTGCACAATCACCATGCCTACCCCAGAGTCCTCAAACTCTTTCCCAATCCCTGGCTTAGATACACTAGTCTGCATACGGTTAGGCGGGCATATTAGTATTCTTGTCACTCATGGACACATTTATAAATTTGATACTTTACTTCTTCATCTTACAGTAGTACACGTCAGAGGAATACCGGAATCTAGAAGCTTCCGTGTCCAGACAACGCTCCAACAGGGAGCACCCACTGTTGCTGAAACAGACTTTCGTATGCAAGCTAACCAGATACAGAATATGAGAAATTATGCAGGAAAGTAAGCGGTAGGCATGGTAGTTGTGCAAAGTAGTGTAGGTGGCCTAAGAGTCCGATTTCTTCAGTATCTCCGACCCAATGCGTGGACAGCTCCCTGCGGACACCTTAGATCAAACAGCCCTGAATGAAGGATCCTGTGATGACAATATCTGCAGAATCGTGTCTTCATCTTCTTCATATCTTGGGTATTTAGTACACTATCATTATCGTGCAGTCCTCGTTCCGTTCTATTTGACAGCGTTGGCATTCTTAGCTTACACCGGCCTTTGGGAGAGTCGAAATTGTCGTTGCCTCTTGAGACAGCTAGACCCTATAGGAACAAGGTCCACAGTAAGTTACAAATGGCCGGTCTATGATACCTGTTAAGCTTACCCACCTGTTGATTTGAAAGTCTGACCTGAAACACTACGTAATAAGAGCTATTTGGTCCTCAAGTAAAACGCTGCCTGCAATCCGTACCCGAAGACTGTACGGATCTCACCCACGGAACCAAGCATATCTACTCACACAACTTCGGGGAGGGCCACTCTTGGCTGGCAGCGTACATAAAACAACATGGTTTCCAGGACGATGAGTCTGCGGAGCTCGAGAACCCGTAGTCCAAGTCCCAAGAGACTGCCCAAAACTCGGAGACCTGCGACAACAATTCAGCAACGTTTCAAATATGCTAGGAGCACAACAAGATAAAGAAGGTAAGACACAACACTCTGAATAAGAATGCAGTTCCCTAGGAGCTGTATTGGGCTTCGCGGAAGCGTCCTAGAGTGTTGAAGTCGCGCGCCACGGGCGCCATAGAACAGAACACCACACAATTAGGTTAACGTAGGCCTCAGCGAGGCACCAAATTCGTAAGGAGAAGGATTGGTTCGAAGTATGTAAGGAAATATATAGGGAGATCATGCATATCGCCGAGGGCAAGGGATCAGTGTATGCATACACATACACACACCCATGTACTGCAGAACGGAAAGGAACCTCGGTACAGTGCACAGCTGGCAAACTCCTAAATGTGTTCTCGTCGGTTCCCGTTCTTTGAAGATGAGCATTTTCTAGGCCATTGCAGTGCTTTTAGAAGTCTGCTCCGCATCAGCCATGCATTGTTGTGCATTCCGATATGTACTTCAGATACGCCACAGATGAAGGGTGTCAGCAGTGGTCATCAAACTAAGCCATGCATATCATAGCAAACCTATCTGTCAAAAAGCCGCCGGTCCAGCTGCTTTTCTGGCCAATATATTCAATGCACAGGCATTATCTTCGTTAGCACAGTATGGGTCTCGCGCACCCAAATGCATGAAACTGCGTGAATCACATTTGGTTGGTCAGCTAAATACTTAGCTGAGCCCCTTACTACGTTACGAGTCCTGATCCTGAGACCGTTTCGGATGGACACGAAATCCCATCATACAGTAGAATTTTCTTGATGTGAAAAATGTGTTTAAGTGGGATTAACAACAGTCAAATTCATCCTCGCAAAGGGAGTGAGTATATCAAAGGATTCTTGAAACAACTGGAAGCCAAGTCAAGGGATAGCTGCCCCTGACCCAGAGTGTCCCTGAGCCTGTCCACCATGAATTTCCCGCGCGACCCAACTTTTATCAATCGTAACGCTCTCCATGTCCAAATCAAGCGAGACCCTTAATTTCAGGGTCGATAGTTCTCTGTCTCGCGTGGGCCAGGAGTAGATGGGATCATATGATTGAATGCCACAAGCTGACAGCTGTCACCTAGGTCCACGTAAACCACGGTAGGATCCGCTATGTGGTCGAGTCCGATCCTTAAATATAGGTTATCGTCGGGCAGCTTTGAGCCGGTGGAATTGGGCTTGTAAGGCAGCCGAAGTTCTGGTGTCGAGAGTACGTTGACGGTGTTGACGCACCCATTGAAGGCGTTGACGCTCCCATTGAAGGTGTTGACTCTCCCTTAGCTCGAGTTCAGTACCACTTAAAATACGGACAAGCTCGCGTTCAAGATCACTTGAATTACGGACAAGCTGAAAAATGATGATGCCGTGGGTAGATTCTCCCTTGACTTTCATATAATAATAGGGAGATCTGACTTGAGAAAGTATTTTAACGCATTCAGAGAGGGGCATATCAGGAAACCCACTGATATGAAAACAGTTTTGCTCAGGAACGAATGATAAAGAAATTGCAGGGTTGAGATCACGTAACATTCTCGATAGTCGTTCAACGAATGAGTGGCCCAATTCACCATATTTTTTTCTCACTGTCGGATCGCTCACTGTCGGATCGGGTTTCTTCATAATGGAAATATTGTGCTGTGCGCTATCCCAAGTTGGAAAGGATATAGAGATCGCAGAATAGTTTGATTGTGAAGGGGGGGAGCTAATGTGGCCTTTTAAGTTCTAAAAGGCGGAAAAAGATGGCAGAACCTTGTGGCATCCGACTGAAATGTTTAATTTCTGACGTCCAGTAGGATCCGAAGTTGCATCAGGATGACAAACTCTGAAATCTGCACAAGCTCTGCAACCTGTTAGTGTTGTGGTTCAGGCACGAGTGTGACCCGAATCCAACTGTATCAATCCTGGGAGTGGAACGGCTCCTGAGAACTTAGGTCGAAGTGTATCAGTTCATAGCCTATCTTCTACTTCGTGGTGATAAAAAAAGGTTTAAATCATACGCGGCCACAAAGTCTTCGGGACATTCTAAGTTAGAGTGATTAAAGGCTACGCGACTGGCGGAATACGGGCATGCTGCTGTGGAATAGCAGAGCTTGATGGTAATTAAGTGGTACCAGGTGGATTGACGCAATATGAACTAGTTGTGCAAAGAACTGTATTGGAGACAAATCATCAACACCCTTGAGAGATGGTACAGTATATCTGCTTCCCTAATTAATGACGCCAGGAGACCGATTCACACATGGCCGAGGCTCTTATGTTCTTGACGTAGTTCACCCTCGATCCCGGCTGTCTTGCATTTTGCGCTCTCGGCACGGCGCGTGAACTTCGATCGAAACCGAGTCAATGATTTGCTTCCTCGATGCCAGAGCACGGCATGCTATGCCCAATACATCATTGGACCGTAACTAATTGATGGGCAGAAGACCTGGACATACCGTGCCATGTAATTAGTTACACTACGTGCAGATCTTATGAAAGGATTGTGCCCTCGATAAGGGCCATTCTGCAAGGCCTTATCACCCATCCAAAATATGAGTGCAGTGCCCCGAAACCAGGTCAAGGACGCCATATAGAAGGGGAGCACTTTCGGGTAGCTTGAAGTGGTTCAAACGCATAGAGTGGGCCACGAGAAGTATGGTCCACGGAAGAGCTAGGCCTAACATTCTTGATGCAGATGTGGCGTAAGGGGTAGCCCGACAAAGCCAGCGAAAAAAGGGCACGGAACAGTTGCTCAACCATTACTCCTCTCACCTCTTGCGACATAAACCAGAGTGTATCACTCTCGCTACATCGAGCGATTGCATGATTATTTATGAAGTTGAACAATGGAGTCCCTCTTGCTCAAGATTGTTTATCTCTTCCTCGTGACGTCACATGTAAGGCTCTGGCTTGGCAGATATATCACTCATGACTGGCTGATCTGACATGAACAGGTCGCTGGTGCGGTTGACTATCAGGTGTACCAAGACACGGATGGTGATATGGTATGTGTTTAATGCAGTTTATTATTAGCGATGGCTAATGGGTGGTGCCTCACTCGCAGGTGCTCGATGTACCAGTATACCCAGCCAATACCACTTCTCGGCCGACGCAGAAGAGGAGCACTGTATGACTTTGGTACACTCAAAAGGCTGAGCTGAGAAAAGTTTGCAGACCGACAGTCCCATGTGCTCGTTTAATTACGGTTTGGCTCATGTCCAGGAGACACCCGTCAATATTCAGCATCTCAAAGACGTTGAAAACGTGACATGTGCTGTGCCAGTGGATAGTTGCGCACGGGTGTCAAACTCAAACATGTCGTCAATATTTGTTTGCAATTATGTCAGTACACAAGCCGCCATAACATTACCTGAAACGAACGCCAACTCTAACAATATGGCAGGGTTCTACATCGATCCGCACGAAGTGCGGGAATCTAGTGGCGCCTGCGGAAAAGGTCTTCAGTACCTGCAAGCTTTGCGACTTTTACAATTATGGTTATGTCGAGCAGACAATCCTAGATGGCACTGTCACATCTACGTATACCCTAGCCCTGGGAGGGGAGTTCCCCAATTCCGCCTAGTCTCCTCGCCTGGTGTGCCTCGGTTATACCAGTAACGCTATAGTGTTGTACGTATGGCATGAATTGGACAATGTATGTTGGCTGCAGATAGGGCGACGGACGCAAGATACTTACCGTGTGTTCTAGCGTTGAGAAGCTGGCTGATGCAGTGAAGTTCCAGGTTGGCGCTAGAATCTTGTCATTGATGAATCTGAAAGCCAACACTAACCTAGTGCGGACGAGCTTACCATTTTATGGCGCATTTGATAAGTAATTATAGAAACACTGTGCTGAACTACGAGTCGTGTAGGCAGGTTTTAGGGCTTACATGCGATTCATTAGAACCCAGTCAATTCCACATGTGGTACGGGAGGACCGGCAACTTCCCAGAAGACTTTCAATCACCACACGGTATCGTGCCTGCACGTAGGTTAGCTGGTAATTGTAGCCATTCAATGTATAAGGCAACGGATATTTCATCGTTGAGGAGTGGGCCAAGTAATGGGCCAGATAGTTGGATTGTAGATCCGGCGTTGACCGCGCCAAGACGCCCCCCAACGTGCCCGTACTGAGTCTCTATGGCTTCGCTCCGAAGACCCAGGGGGTACGGCTCCGCCCGCTTTACTTGCCTTGCAATTCGCCTTGGGCACTTCGTGATCAAAGCAAACGGAAGGATCAGGCTACACCGCAGTTATGTAATGGTTATGGTATTTAACTAGTGGGATCTCAGTGGCCTTCACTTGCAGTTCGCAGCAAATCTTCGCATTCGATTAAGTCACGCTGTACCAACATTATCTTCTTATTCGATTCCCTTATCTTTCCTACAGTCCACAGTGCTATCATTCTTCGACCTCATGTCCTTCATCGACCTACCAGGAGAGATACTGCTTGGCATTGCCAGCTTTCTCTTCCGTGAAAGCGATATCAATGATCTTGCCAAAACTAGCACCCGGCTTCATAGTCTCCTGAACCCTGCTTTGTACAAATTCAACGTGACCCACTCAAAGAGTTCAGCGCTGTTGTGGGCTGCAAGTGAGGGACAAGATACGACTGCCCGGTTGTGCATACAGCAAGGAGCAGATCCTAACATAACCGATCCGATGAACGCAACGCCGTTGTCTTTGGCAGTGAACCATAGGCATCCAAAAGTTGTGAAGGTCCTCCTTGAATGCAAAGATACCGATGTGAATACGGGCGTGGATGAAGGGGACTCACCTCTATACTGCGCCGCACTTTTTGGAGTGAGAGATGTCGTCAAGTTACTGCTAGAGGGTGCACGGGTCACTGTGGACGTCAAAGATAGTAGTTGGGGGGAAGCGCCTTTGCATGCAGCAGCGAATGGGGGCAACACAGAAGTGGTGAAACTCCTTCTGGATGATCCAAGGGTCGATGTCAATGTCAGGGACTCGATGCAGTACACTCCTTTGGCTCTAGCTGCCCAAAGTGGCTACGCAGACACCGTGCGTCTCCTACTTGATGATGAAAGAGTGGATGTGAACCTCACAGACAGTGAAAATAGGACGCCTCTTCGTTTAGCGGCAGGCAAGGGCAGCGCGGAAATTGTGGAGCTGCTACTCCAGCGGCCGGAAGTGGATGCCAACTGCGCATGTAGCTATGAAACTTCAACGCCATTGCATGAAGCAGCACGCTCAGGACGGGTGGATCAGGTGAAGCTACTTCTTCAGCATGGTGGAGTAGATGTGAGCTTGGAGAATTCTCGAGGCTTGACAGCACAACAACTAGCTGCATCATATGAGAAGACAGCAGTTTTGAGCCTACTACTTCGGACGTCACCAACAGATTTGAAGCAAATGAGCTCATGAGCTATATAAAAGTATACTTGCCGGGCTTCACATACTCGTCCAGTATGTACAATAAGGGTCGTGGGCTCGTAGGGAGAAGACTACTTTTCCGAAGCTCAACCGCCGGGAAGATCATTTAGAAGTCATGCAATGTATCCAACTCTGTGGCATCACCCAACGGACTGTGCTTGGTCTTTTCGTCCTTATATTCGAGTACAGGTAAAAGTGGCGAATTTTCTATACCGTAGCGCGGGTCCGCGGGTCAGGGCTTCCGTACAGATAACAGGCGTCAAAAGACGCTTAAGCTCAGTGTGTGCCTGCGCAAGAATTCTTTTACATTCATTTACGTCGTGGTCTCCCGTAGACTTGGATGACGTTGTGCGGCGGGCAATCACTGTCATTTAGCTCAGGAATCCTTGGCTAGCCAAACACATCTATTACCAATGTTTCACAGCGTTGTCAGACATTGAATGTATAATACGTGCAATCTAGTCTGGATAGCACTCTAATCACCTCCTCTTCTCTTCTGGAACCAGCTATTCTTTCTTTAGAAGTGCGTAGCCACAGTAACCAGCTTTTGAGAAGAAGTGATACAGTCATCTGCGAAATGAGCCTGCCCCCCGGGCACTGTTTTGTTGTTTAAGAAGTCCTTGGTTGCCGGCTTACTAAACAATGTTTCTTGTAATGATTGACTTAACAAAGTATATACTTAATATAATTGGCTTAGCATTCGCGCCAAGAACTCTTTAAACTAAATGAGAAGTATCTTGCTGGGCAAGCTGATTTCGCAGCTCACTGTAGCGGAATTCGGAACAGGGCGTTTTACTATCGCCTCGACGCCAGGGTCTGAAAAACATTTTTTGTGTAAAACATGGAAGCCAATCTCAAAAGTAAGCTTCACTGATTAAATTACAAGCCAGATTGGTACCTGCCAAGACTATTCGTATACAAGCTAACCAGATACAGATTAGTACAGATATGTTGGGTTTGCGGGAAACGAGCAGGAAAAGTAAGCGGTAGGCATGGTAGTTGTGCAAAGTACTGTATTGCAGAGCAGACGGCGTGGATGATAAGGTATTCTCTCACTGGCAGTTTCCCTCGCGGTCACAGCCATTCTGCGCGCGGTCGAGACTGCTCGACGTTCGATTCCGCGTCCGGCCGTTGCTGTAGTACGATCGCACAGCAGGTTAAAAATGCAAGCAAAGGCGTGCATGTCAATTGTAGTAGAAGTAATGCCGTTATGCTGGAGTCGTCCTTGGACCGCACATGGCTTTGCCTATCTGTGATACGATGATCAAGTAGAGTTTCTCATGGCTCATCCTCATGCAGCACGGCTGCATATGCGCTTGTCCACCCCAACAAAGGTTAGCATAGGGTGATCAAACGGGCCGTTCTTTTCACCTCGCGAAGACCGACGGGGGCATCTCTCGCGGCCGCAACCGTAGGAGCGGATCACAGTGACTAAAAGATTGCTGGGTGGGAGACACGGAGGGCTGATGGGTTGAGTCATTTCCTTGACTGGTCGAAACGCTCTGGTTAATCTGTCTCCTTGGCACGACGGACCATTCAGAGACTTCTTTGCAAGTATATAGATAGATAGGAGTAGGAAGCTCCTGCATATCACCGACAGTGTTGTTTAATCCGAACCTAGCCTAGTGGGTTGTGGTTTAGAATCCAACTGACGGCGAGCGGCTAGCGTATGAAATCATCATCATTATCATTATTGACTGTACACCAAGTCATCACGATTTCCACGGGTCAGCAGATTTGAGCATCTTCGAGAAATCGTTGACACGGTTGTGCAGCCTCGTATGGAGATTCAATGCCATTTGGTATCCGAATCGTTGGGCCTGGCTGGTGAAGTTTGGTTTCGAAGAATCCCATCTAAAGCTAGTCAAAAATTTCCGAATACAACCAACTGAGCATACATAATGTGATCTAGAATTACTAGGTGCTATTCATGCGTTCCACCTCATTCATACTTCTTTGCCCTTTCACAGCTTGATGGTTTCTTTTCAAGTAGGAAATGCCTGTAAAAATGTTGAGATGTTGGACTAAGAAACTAGATAATGACCGCAACATCCCCAGCCCACAACGTTCAACGTCACCTGCAAGCTCGGGGAGATCACACCAGACCGCAATTTAACGAGGTGGGCTTGATAGTTGATCCGGGGTAAAGGGTTCTCGGCGCGACCAAGAAGGATAGTCAAAGAGTCGACCGATCAAGGCAATTTCGAAGAATGACTGCATTCCCAAGATTTGAACGAACACCAATCCTCTTCCAACAATTATACACTCAATTTCTGGGCTATATCAAATACTAACTCTTCTAAATTCGGTCAGCAGCAGCCTTATAAAGATCGATACCCTGCGTCTCATATACAGTACCTGTCGTAACAGTTTGACTTGAGCTGAGAATGCTTGCTCTAGGGTTGTTTATTGTGCTCGGCCTCGAAGCTGGCTTGGCAACCGCCTCAAGTGTACGTTCAAATCTGACCTCTTGTATTGACAAACTGAATTATGAACCGTCTAGGGTCTCTACGAACCATTGGAACTCTTTGCCTGGGACAAACCGAACTGCCGAGGAACCATCTCCTGGACTATTTTTGACGAAATCAGCTTTGCACGAAACATCTCGAATTTTTTCGTTGCCCACAGTTTCCGCCTTAACCGGACGTTGGAACGCCAGGAACAGCTAGATATTTCCGTGACCAGCAACTTTGCAACGTGGTATTCCGACAAAGACCAATTGTCATACAATAGCTCGTCATGCACTACCTTCTGGCAGAGTTATTATGCGATCAATGGGAGTATTGCGTGTCACAATACACCACCGTTTACTTGCCATAGATTGTGGAACAATCCAGGGTTGCCCGCCTCTTAGTGGATATGTCAGGACCTCTGATCCATTGAATGGGCTCGTTGAATAAAGTTTACACAATATAGCCCTGCAATCGGATACACAGGGACTTGCAATCGGCTTCCATGTTCATATATAGAAGCTATCTCAAACCCACACACCACCAAGACTGCGGTGAATTTGCCTCAGCGGTAAACTGCTCGGCTACGAACTATTCCACTAGGCCTTTAAGGTAAATAGAAAGTGGTGTAGGAAGAGGATGGTGATGAAGATGATTTCATCTAATCTGTCCCCTGCTCCAACAGTTGGATCCCAGATTACGTGATGTATAGATATAGAAATGGCAGCCTTTGAGGCAGGTGGTACGGTGTGAATCAAGTACACTGTCAGTTCGCAGTTGCGACAGGATAAAGTTTGAAGGACAACATTGAATTATAGATGGCCAATGGCAGAGATGATGTATATGATAAGTGTCTAATTATAGCCATGCATTTAGACCATTGTTGTGGGGAGCATCCCATCTCGAATATCAATTCGGTTACCCGAATATGCTCTTTAGAAATTCAAAGAAGCAACCTGCATGTGGGTTAGTGTACCAATTTGTGAGTTAACTTAAGGCAGACTAATATCAGTTTAATCTTCGGACTGAGTGCAATGACCAGCTCTGCATCCATCACAAGGCTGACGACTGTGTAGGCCTCGGCTTTCATAGAAGACGGGTGGTCACACCACTGGAATTCCATCCCATTACTTTATCGCTTTATCCAGTAAGAGACTCTTTCCACCTCCTACAGGTCCAAACTTGATTGAGCAAGATTACTTGCAGGATTTGCAGCGTTGGTAGTATAATCTCGTATTTTATATTGTCCTGGGTATTACATTTGCGGGAATTTACTGTAACAGTGTCGGTATGTACGCAAGTGTGCTGGGGCCAGAGCACCCATCTAGCCTTTAGTACAGAACAAGCCAAGCCGCTCGTAGAAGAGTACTATCCCGTATCAGGCTTCCGTGACCGTGGACTACATACTACGAAGTAATCATGGCTGTGCGTATGTACTAGGTAGACTAAGTAGCCATCATCCGTCACGTGGCACAATACTCAGCGTCCTGAGAATAAGAAGATAAAAGGCGGCTCATGGCCTGCCCTTAGATCAAGCAAAACCATAACTCTCTTACGATATCAGCTCCAAGATGAACACTCTACCTCCGGAAATCCTGCTTGATATACTGAATAGACTTGACTTGAGGTCACTTTTGAAAGTATCCCTCGTTTCGAAAGCCCTGCGAGCTGCAATCCGCCCTATGCTTTCCTTTGGTTTCACTGGCTGCCTGAAAGAAGACATTGAGCCTTTGAAGAACTTCTCTGATCATTTGTTACTTGATCCCTCCCTCGCTAGTCAAGTAAGATCCGTGAAGATCGAGTCCATTCACTATAGATTAACTGAAGAACTCCATAACATACTTGGGCCTCTCCTTGAGCGCTGCCCAAATATACATCATCTCATGGTATCAGGGGATCAAGAGACCGCAGAATTTTTTAGGCGATTGTTGAAGAACAAACATCATCTACGCCAACTTCAGTCCTTTACCAATGATTATCAAGTGGCTTGGGAGCCCGCTGAGCCCTATCTTCAAACTTGGAGCGCTATATTTGGACTTCAACAACTATCATTCATTTCACTTGCTGGTTGCTCTGATCGGATGTACCACACTGGGGTCCCTGAAATTCCGCCTGAGCTTCAAGTTACCGGAGAGATTTCACTCCGTTCAATTCAAATTCATTGGAGCTACTTGGGCTATACCATCCTTGCACGGGTGATCCAAAGCTGCAAAAGCCTTGAAATTTTCGATTATCAATGGCCCAGTGGGTTTCTCCCTGGGGATTCAGATCCAGCAACAATAGTGGATGCACTTTCTTTGCATAAGGACAGTCTTAAAGTTCTTGTTTGTGATTTTCAGGCGAGAGAGGATCCATACCATGGCGAGTACGACCAATTTCCCAAAAATCGATCTTTGGAGGAATTTTCATGTCTCCAAAGGGTTAGTGTCACTCATGATTGTCTCCCTTTGCAACCATTGCTACCTCCATCACTGGAAGCACTTGAGATTAAACTTCCTCACCAACCACCACACGCTACTCTGATCCAGAACCTTGCGAGTGCAAGCCATTCATCACTATCAAAGCTTCATAGTCTTGCTCTAAAATACTATCCCTCCAATAATCCAGAGGGGATTTCTGACGGGTTTCATGAGAGAGTCAAAGTCACTACTTTGGGTTACGACAACTTGATGTGGAACTAGATGGCTGATCTACCAGAGAACAATGCATTTTCCTGACTTATATGCACCTCTCCAAATTGAAATCTGTGCTGGCGAGCTCTCCGAATCTTTTTGGAAATCTTCTGGTTGATGTTGATGATATAGCAGCTTGTTCATCACCGGTGACTGATACTGTAATGTTGTTCTCTTCTTCTATGAAGTCAAAGAACCATCTTAAGTTTACTGTACTTTTCAAAGCCACAGAAGCGAATACGATTCAGTATGATACCGGCAAAGTACAGTACTTTATCCGAAATTCAAGTCATCAGCGAAGACCATGCTGGGACCGATCTTGTAAGAAGGCCAGTAGATGTGTCACCCAGCTTCGCCGGAGAGTATTGACCCTACAATTCCTAGTCTTGTCAGCAGTATCAATGGAATAAGGCCGCCGAAATTCACCTGTCCTGACGACAAGACCTGGTCTGGAGATGTGGGCCACAGACTGGTGATTTAGGGGCCCTCTTTCATTAATCTGATATGTACTGGGCATATGTGGGTATATGCTCATCATGGTCTTGGTCTCCTACACTTTCGGAATAAGTTGGCTTGCTCGTCACGACTGGAAGGTAGAACAAAGTTCGTCGGGTACATATTCTGGGAAAGGGAATGATGACCGAGGCAGACTCTGATGTTCAACTCCATGGGTAAATAAGCGAAAAAAACAGAGGCATTATCTATCTCGGAGGGACTGTATGTCATCAAATACGCTAACTGAAGGAAGATCCATTGAACATTAGCAAGACTAAGTATATTTGCTTTCGTTGTTGCAGTCAATTTATATCGGTAACACTAATTGATTACGGCTTTCGGGAACGATACAATGCCAAAGAATGCCGGTCCCCGCTAGTGTAAGCCATGAAGACTTAGCCCATATTAGCGTACGCCCGGTGCTGGATAGCGTCTAGAGAAACCGGCAGAAGTGGTACTCGGTTGCACTATGAGTACCTGTTGAACATCCCTAGACTGATGGTGGTCATGCTGTTGCCTACGGTCTGGAAATTCAAAGTGTCTTTGTTTGGCAGCAAGGAATATGACCCTAATCAAGCATTTCCTGTTCATCGTATCCCCAGGCGAGTACAGCACCAAGATCCATCGGTCTTTCTCGATACGTGCAAGGCAGTTCTAGCATCTTTCTCAGGGCTTTGTAAAGGAGGATGGGCATAATGCATCCGACACAGTTGGCCCAGGTAAGTTGGGAATGCACCCAGTTGCACATACTCTATGCAACGTCAAGAATCAGAGATTGATCAAATCTCAGATCTTCCATACACGATCAATACCCATTCGCACTCTCATACTACTGTATGTCTGAGTGGTTGACTCGATACATCACAATCCGATGCAGGAGTTTACGAGGCTTGAAAAGCTGGCAAGTAAATGTAGGATAGCGGGAACCTGATGCTGCGATATCATGGGCTCCACCAATACGTCGGCAAAAGGTCGGAGAAGCGATTACATTACAGGTGCAACAATGCGAGTTCGCGAAACTGTGCAACACGGAACGGAACCTCGGTCAACTCGCATGTGTAAGTAGATGGTACTCCTCATGGCCATGCTCCCTAGTGGGCTGTCGCAACGAACTATCTACCGGGACCAACGACCATGATGTGCATCGGAAAAGCAAACCTGATTAACTTGTTGATGCACGTACGATACTCGGTTGTTCTTTTGCGGCGTAGGGGACAGACAATATAAATCTTTAGGAAACGCTCACGACACCCTAAGTAGCTGTACACTACGCAGAACGGACCTTCACTTATATAACCAGATATTATGCAATTGCCATTGAAAACAGCACTATATCGTCCAGCGTGGACACAAAAGCTAGTGAAATATCATCACAAATCTGCCATCGAGGTATGTTTGCGGGTTCCAGCTATTTGGATGACTAGCCATTGACCGGTGGCAGACATCGTCCACCCCCATGTCAGCAAATGTGTTGAAGACAGCATTGATGGAGGGTTATAAACCGAGCTTCCGAACTGTCTCTATAGGCAAAGCTGCTGATTATACGACGACGCTGAGACCTCAACAAAAGATCTGTTTCTACCCAGGCAAGCTGCATGGGGGAATCCAAGCGTTCTACTTGGATCAGATTTTTGCAGATTGCTGTGCAGGAGCCCTTACAGCCAATCTAGCTATCTCGTATTTCCGGCCAGTCAACCCTCAAGCCCCCTTGAGAATCAGCACCTGGCCTGTGAAAAGGGAGGGGCGCAAGGTGTATATGGAAGGGTCAATCAAGGTTCCGGACCACGCCACAGGGGCTCTGGTGGAGGCGGTCCGTGCTACAGCTTTATTTATTACGCCCAAAAACAAAGCTGTTTGAATCTCTATTCAGATATAGTTCGATGACTAGCCTCACCCTCGAGTCAATGTAATGAGACCGCAGAAAAGTGACCGGCTGCTCAGAAAATGGAAGGAACAGAAACATACAGCCTCAAATTCTCAAGGTGTAGAAAATGAACTCACGAAAAGCTATAGAAATTTCGACTAGTACCTCTGCTAAACTTGGTCACTGTAACTTCGCCGGGCCTCACGACAGAAATGAGCGCCAGGGCCGCACAAGACTTTCGAATCACCAATGGGCACCGAGCTCTCCCAATCTCTTGGTTGCAAAATGTCGATGAATGGACTTGTTCAAGTGAAAGTGAGGCTACTGGATGCCTCATGGTATCTTCGCTACTTCGTACGGTGCCCTACTGAGGCGCCCCGAAATTTCAACTACGGACCGGGTTAAGGTAATGATTGCTGCCCCCATCATTTATTCGGTCCGAAAAGGGAAGAATCCTGTGGTATCCGACACTATTACAATGAATAACTATTGGATGTCCTGTCATGACGTTGGATTCTATTGAGATCGCAGGGCCGCCCGCTCTATGCGTACATGCGCAATAGATAGACCTACCAAAGCAGACCTGGCAACAATGTTATATGACTCTCTATGATCCCATTTATAGCATCAGGAAGCCTTCTTCAGAGATAGGAGTCAAGTTGCTCTGAGTAAAGCTTCTACATTCATCTCATTCTCCGAGGCCTGGTGCATGATGTTATTGCTAGCCGCTTACGCAGTCGCTGTGCTTAGCAAGGCTGCGTTCGGGACACAGCTCTCGATATATGAACGTCGAACTAAGTCTTCGGTAACGGAGCGTGTCTGTGGTGTAGTAGAGAGTGACACAGATTATACATCACTTACTGTCTCCTTTTCAAAAAATGGAACAAACATGACCTACAGCTGGTCTACGGGAGTTACGAGCGATTGTGTCACGTTCTTGGATGGAGCTCTGGAACCCTGTGAGTCAGTAGACATGTTTACGCAACAGGATATTGACTCATTGGCGTAGGCAAGGGCCCTTCTCCCTTATATTGCGAGTATCTTGATTTCTCTTTCAAACCGCCGTCAAGTGGCGTGGCGTCGACGCAGTACTCCGACCAGCCGCGCTCATCGAGCGTAGATGGATGGGGACCAGAATCCAGCACCGTTGGCTTAGGCACCACCCGGTCATCTATTGAGATTATTTCACGGCAGACACTCCGCACCAGTACGCTCTCTCAGGCGCCAATCACAGGCTCCGCTCAGAAATCTCCATCAGCACAATCCGGTACGATGCGGGCAACATCGACTGCTGCCTCCCCAGTGTCATCCACATCCACTGGGTCAACTCTCTGTGTCGTAAAGTAGGTCAACCCGTACCCAGGACTGCATGGGTGGCCAAACCGGTGTCCGATCAATTCAGGCATATCTAACGTTGAACCTCAGGGAAAGCGACCTGGATAAGGGAGTCTGTTACTGTCTTGATCAAACCACGGTGCCGTATTCCAGCTCTGAGTGTAGCGTCTTCGGTGACTGAGATTTTACGTAAACGTAGTCCCTGTTGATGGTTGATTGCCCACGCCAAAAGAACACTGTTAAACATGCAAGGACTCAAGCGAAGTATTTACCTTTCAAGAGAAGTTTAGTGTTTTGGGGTCAAATCTCCATTCCTGGTGCGTAAGATGCCAATGTTTGAGATGGACAGTGTGACCCGTCATTATCCAGGAGTCATCACCACTCGTACTTCTGCAGTAGCACATCCCAAGCAGCCAACGTATAGATTGTAGGCGAAGATTAGAGTGAATTCGGAATTAATATTATATTTTAACACCTTTAGAGAGGTTCTTGACTGGAAACCTACTGCATTGAGTTTTCTCCCTGATGATCAAAGCGCTGGAAGGAATTTCCCGGCCAGAAAATATGATTCTTCTCCCAAAGTAGAAAAGCGAGGTGAACCTGGCCGAGCTGATGTGATATTCCTGAGGCTAACTCATTTAAAAGGGTTAATGCCCGTGTACCCCGTTGAGGTCTTTCAGGTAGTCTTGAGTTTTACTCTGAGCAGCGGTACAAGACATCCTACGCTATATCATTGCAGGTGACCATCGCATCGATTCAGAGGGCAGTCTACTATAGATTCGACACTTTGCGTCTCCTTACCTTAGAAAGTAAGTGAAATTAATAATGTGGCTGGCCACGCACCGTACTCACAATCCATGCATCAGTGTCCAAAAAGAATAAGACCAGGGGCCTCCAGCCAAGCAAGGGAACACAGGAACATCAGCTTCCACAACACGCTCACATAGACTCTTATGACAACTATGAATCCAGTGGAAGGGAACAAGTATTGGAAGACTCGGAAACACAGGACTGTGGCTATAGTAAGGTCGAGGATTGGCTACTAAAAGAGAGCTTTTACGATCACGGAGTCAGCGACCTCGCAAGAGTGCACAGTAATTTGGCCAAGTTCAAGGTAACTGGCCGGTGCCAATTCACTTCGGATGTGCCACTACCTTGCCAGACTGGCCGCAAGAGGAAGCTTTCCTTAACGTCTAAGGCAACCTCTGAGGCAACGACTGTACAGTGTCCCAATTTTGTGGAGGATATTCAGCCCATGCCAAGTCAGTTCCAGGACGAGCAAAAGGAGGCAGGCACAGTCACGGTGGGGTTCAACGCAAAAATCAGCGAGAAGGGTATACTGCTCTCACTACCATTCCGGAACCGGCTTAATTCAGAAATAAGGCCCCCAAAACTGTTGAAACACGACCATGATCAGGTCTAAAGCCGCGATTGATTTGCTTGGATTCGGCCTTGGAAGATGGGTGATATCATTGAGATCTCGGTAGCATAGATAGAACAATTTACTATACAGAACACATATGCGGAAACGCTCCGCGGAGCAATTGCTGGCTATCTTACATCTTACTACCTACACCGTTCGCGGTATTATATACAATGAAGCTTGGCGTCGGAATAGTTTGGCGATGTTCCTTGAAGTAAGTAATCGCTTTGACGGGAAAATTGAGGGCTTTTGACTGGGTAAAGCATGGCATTGATGATAGCGGTTTCCCGTGCCACGGCTATTGGAGGTCGGGAAAGCAGAATACAGTAACTGGACCCTCGTTTCAGTAGCACGAGAAATTCTCGGGCTCTGTAAGAGGGATTTGATATCCACATGCAGGGCGGAATAGCATGATCTTTGTTCCCCCCACAAACTTCACGCAGGGATTTCTGGGCCTTCTTAGCGTCTGTCGTCTAATGAATGCACAGTCGGATGAGAATGATGGAATTCAATGCTGGTAAGCATGTAGAGTAGCGGAGACCAATCACAGCTTGTAAGCCTCCTGGACGAAGGAGATAACATGCTATGGCAGAAAACTCTGGCCCCCAAATCAGTGGTTGCAGTTCGGATATACCCCATATCAATTTGGGACAGCCACACTTTGGCTGACAGGAGCGATTGTTGACCGTTTTACGAGTAAGCCTTGAAAATTATACACTCAGAGACATCGCTGACTGACCCAGGAACGGTGTATTGTTCTTGGCAAGTTTGGGTCACTTTGGTAACCTGCTTTAAAGTACGCCTCTCTATCAAGGCACAAGAGAGCCCTCGATCCGAATCTTCGCCCTTTGCAGCCATACCCAGCGGGACCTCTCCCTGAGATGGGGAAATGATATGTCATCTCCCAGTTTCCCGGATGCTTTCACTATCCCAGCTTTGCCAGCCACATCCAGGTGTACCCGCTGCCACTCGGATGTTCCCACCTTGCCCTCAGTCTGACCATTCTGGTCCCCTGGAAGAGGAGGAAAGTCAAAATCAAGACCGAATGGAATGTATCGACTATTGAAAGGAAAAAGTGCTCTGGAGCCAAAGGCCATTTCCTGAAAATTGAGATCGATAAAGGGTTCCCCACCCAGATCGGGCGACACTGTGATTCGACTATATGGAAAATGCGTGGATTCAGTGGGGATAAATTCAAAGACGGCAGACTAGGTTCAATGTATTCATTAGTTAAAAGAGACATGTGACTCAAGTTAGGTTCTCTTACAGCCTTAGGCACATTCCAGTTTTTGCGGCCTAGAAAATGTATTCGTCAGCCTGGTTTCTACATTGGCCTGCGTCGCATAAAATGCATTTTATTCTCTCTCATTGGACCACAATGCGGGGTAACAGACCACTGTACACGGCTAATGGTGTTGATACATAGGCCCTCGTCGAGCGATATGTTCGTTTCCCACTCTGAGGGAGTTTGAATGCCCCTGGAATCCAGAGAAGCTCGTCATACATTCCTTCACCGTGATCAGTAAATGGAAATAATCGCAAATAAATTGACCTACCAATTGGACTCTTATAGTACCGAACAATGACACAGGCTTGCAAGCCGCCAGCAAATTCTTGGTTGGTGGTTTGAGACTCCTGCTCAAGTTCATGATACCAAGCCGAAGGTGGCTGTTTGGCGGAAGAAAAGCCAGAAAAGCAAATGAAAATATCTCCAATTGCACACTCCCATACAGATGGGACATCGGGGAATTGATTTATCTTCGAGCCGCAAAAGTTTGACATATAATCCATAATTGCAAGGGACATTTGTGTAGAATAATGCTTTACGAGAAAAGACTCGTCTTCCCAGAACATGCGAGAAGATATAAGTCGGCTTTAACGTATGTTTTAGCATGATGGGAGAGAGTACAGTAGGTATTATGGAAAATATCCCTGTGAGTTGTTGAGCCGGTGCAAATTGAACGAGCACGTTGTGTAACTGACAAGAAATATGGTTTTCCTGAAACTTCCATAGACCAAGCATCTAAGTAGTGGAGATACGTTGAACGATCGCACACCTGGACTGACGACCTACGCTCATTTGGGTGGATTAAGATTACACCATTAAGTATTTAGTGCACAGTGGGTCAGCCAAAACGCACCTTTACCGATGAAGACTGATGTAAATCTGTGCAACGAGGGCTTGCACACCCTGCGTGATTATGGTCTTGGCATCCTGGAAGCCCGTATTATGTTTCTTACATCTGACGGAATACTGGATACCTATATCTCGAGGCTATAATAAATGATCAGCTGCAGCAGCTCAGAACACTATCTTCCGGCGAACAGAATCCACGATGGATGAAGAGCACTTCCGCACCAACGATAATGACCCTCTTATCCTAGGGCTTTATGGGGTATTTTTTTTTTACCAAATGACCAACAAAAAGTCATATCGACCCCGACATCCAGGTTCGTACGGATTTCAGTAACTAAAGTGGTCAGAGCTCATCAAATATGTAGCACTGCTTTGGCATGCTATAGCAGGTGTCGTTGAGCTTCTTCTCTACTACAGGAATGTTCGGTGTTCGATAGGGGCGCTAGTTGCATGTTTGGTGCATTCCTTCACATCACTGGCTTTGGTGAAAGAACTTCCTAATGGTTATCCTCCTCACACCCGTAAAATGTCCCTTATCACTCAATACGCCTAAGTCACAGTCAATTGACTCGTCTATTTTAGGACCTGTGTACCAGGCAGGCTCCATCTTGAGATCGGTTTTGGTCGTGCGCGCTTATTTGACTCAGACCAACGTCGATTACCACTCCAGTATCATGCCTTTACATGGTTTCGTGTACACTCGCGCTTTGATTTTTCTGCTAGGAACTATGGGTCCCACGCGAAGCTTCGTGAAGAACGTCAATGCCCCTTATGTCTATGCCGAATCAGTGCTGGGGGCTGCTTTGATTTCTGTCGGGCACTGTCACGGTTCCTGGTCTGTACCAACCTACCTGGTCTTAGTCCACGCGGTTGGAAAACTGAGCCTGCGAATTCGGGAGAAGTATGAGTCCTGCCGGTATATTTACCCCTACCAGCCTGTGAGACTACACCACTGATGAAATATGGTCCTTAAAGTGAGAAAAATATCCCTGAGCCTCATTGGAGCCGGATCCTGCGAAAACTGGGTTTTTGTACTCGCGGAGGGCAAGAAGTGATTCCAAATGCCCCTCTGATCGGTCATCTTCCAACGGACATGATCGGAGCCATGTGGACCGAGTACCTTTGAAGAGTTCCTCAGCCAGTTCCCGACATACAGTGATCTGCGAAATGAGCCTGCCCCCCAGACACTGTTTTGTTGTTTAAGAAATCCTTGGTTGTCGGCTTACTAAACAATGTTCCTTGCAATGATTGGCTTAACAAAGTATATCTTCAATACAATTGGCTTAGCGTTCGCGCCAAGAACCCCTTAGATCAAATGAGAAGTATCTTGCTGGGCAAGCTGATTTCGCAGCTCACTGTATACTGTTCACTGGGGTGCGATGAGCATTTGCTAGAGGCCGAGCCTGAATTCGGAGAGGGTCAATTTGGGTGACCCGGTTGCTCATGGTACCTGCGCGTAAGTTATTTGGCAAGATGATCTATGTTGAGGTTGTAGTTGTCTATGCTCTCATCTGGACTTGCCCGCCATTCCTCCGGAGTACGGGATATCAGTGACCTTTTTGTATTCATGCAGAATATCCTCAAAAAACTCGCCAATGGTTACTCAATGTCATTGAAATGTTCTTTGTACGTTCATGTATGTTAGTACGATGCATTATTAGGTGTGCAATTCGATACGGTCACAACGACCTGGGGAACTTTACGCGCTAGCCTCAAAGGCACAGAGTGGAGCAATCATATGTGCCAACCTAGAGGATACTGAAGTTGTTTAAATCTATAGTATTACACCAAAGGGACTAATCTAGACATGGCCAAGTGAACAGTTGATACTGTATCATGGAGACTCTTGAGTTTCTCTTTGACATGCGTGTCTTAGCTATTGCCGCCTGTTAAGAGATTAAGCCACTTGGCGGAGTGGAGTACATACAGATATGCCGTACCTATCGCGCTATGGTTCGGCTCGCTGTAGGGT